TATTTTGAACTAGTTATTAAAATTACTTGCAATTTTGATATAATGTACAATAAGTTTCAATGATTCTATTAGCTTAGGATCATAAATCTTGCTTTTTTATTAATTTTTGCATTGTTATATTTTAAAAAGTGTCCACAATATTCTGGAAGATCTCTGTATAATATAAGAATAACAAAAATATTAGATTATTCCAAGTTTAAAACTAAATTAATCAAAAATTCTTGATTAAATCTTGATCAAATTTATTCTTTACTTACAAGGTAAAGCTCTATTTTTATATAAAATTAATTATTATAAAAATATCAAAATATTAATATATCAAAATATCAAAATATTAATATATCAAAATATCAAATTATTAATATATCAAAATATCAAAATATCAATATATCAAAATATCAAAATATCAATATATCAATATATCAAAATATCAATATATCAAAATATTAATATATTTGTTATACTAATTAATAATAATAATTAAAAATTAATAATTAAATAAATATCCAATAAAATATGAATAAAAATAAATCAATAAGATAATAAATATAAATTAATCAATAAAAATATAATATAATATTATTTAATAAAAATATAGTTTAATAAAAATATAGATAATAAAATATATAATAACAATAAAAAAGATATAACATTATTAATAAAATATGAGTTTTTCTTTTTATATAAGAATAAAAACTTGTATTTTATCATATTTTATTAATAAATTTAATATTGTTATATTTCTTTTGATTCAAAATATTATATAATAAATTTAATAAAATACAAATTAAATAATAATTTAAAATATTTTTATTATTTAAATTAATATTATATATTTAATTTGTAATTCAAAGACAAATCAGTGAAAGTATTATCACGCAAATACTATTTTGATATTATAATAAACAAATTTCATTATTATTTTTGTTTTTAGTAATAAATAGAAATTTTAATTATACTTGAAAATATTTTGCTTAATGAATATACTAATTAATTGTTTTATATAATAATTGATTATTTATACATATTGATATTGATTAAATGCATTTGTATTACAAAAAATACATAGAATCAATTGTAAAAATCATAATATATAATTGTTTGATTTCTGACTAACCTAAAAACTAAATTGTAGAAAATAAATATATATATACAAAAACCAAAAACGAAAAAAAATATACACACATAATATAAAGGGCAATATACAAAAAAGATTATGCAAACTAATATACAATATAAGAAATAAAATTGAATTTAAAAAATGTTCATCAAATGCAAAAAAAATAATCATCACTCTTCAATCTTTTCATCGTCTTGTCTATTTTCATCGTTGGTTACACTAGAAAAATGAGGAAGAAGAGAAGTGGGAGAATGTTGAGGGTAATAAGAATGATGTTGAGGATGAAGGTTGAAATATTCTGTTGTTGATGTGTTTGTTAATTTCGAAGAATATCCACTATCGTCGTTTTTTACATCATCTAAATTTTCTGTATTATTGGAAGAAGGTGACGATGACAGTACCGGTGGAGAAATCGAAGGCGAGAATAATCCATTCACCATCCACCCACCGCCTTCTTCATTCACAATAACTCGATTCGGTTCAATCCCTTCGGTTCAAAAAATGCGTGATGTCATTAGTTCAATAAAATCTTCTCGGATTGAATAATAAAAACAGTTCTACTTACCAAGAAAACAAACATCACAAAGTCGAATGGAACAGTTAGCAAGACTATCACGAGGATTTGAAGATTCTTGTTGAGGCTGAATCTGTTCAGCCAATAGTTCCAAAAAAAATTTCTCGGGTAGTAGAGTAAGGTCAATTGGTTTCTTGGTAAGACATACGGTACATACTGTCAAAGTAATGGTAATTATAATTTATAATTAATAATATCTGTATATTGAATATAAAGAAAAATAGATAAAAAACAAAAAAAAATTACCAATTTTTTTGCATCTAAAGCAAACATTCTAAAATAAATTATTAATCTTAATATTATTTAAAATTACTATGTAACAAATACGATTATAGTCAAAAAATTAAAGAGCATACTAACCCGCCATCTGAATACACTAAAATCCACTCTACATAACTCGCATTGCTTTGCCACAATCACATCATGAATAGACTTAAGCTATAAGAATCATCAAATTGAATTCAGGTCAATTCAATTCAATTCAATTAATTGAGTTGAAAACAAAAGAAAATTTACATTTTTCAATGAACTCGACTCTCTAAAATACCCTCGAACATTAGGAACTAATGAATTAGAACTGGAACTGAGTCTGAAGTTAGAGCCCTCGGTAGAACGTTTTGAACTAATGGAATCATTTTCCTTATTTTCGGAATTATTCGTAGTAGCTGATAATATCGATGATGGTTTATGATTCCAAACTTGAATTCCAGGAGCAATATCTTCGTCCCGTATCGCGTCAGGAAACATGGTGAACAAACAAGGATCACAAGCACGCACAATTTGATCATCTTGTTCATTGGAGCCAGGAATGACAAAATTCTTTTTTAAAATGCCAAAAAAATGTAATTAGTGAATAACCGATAACTTCAGAGATAAAGAAATGTTTAGAGAACTTACTCTAGTCGAGCAAGCATGACATATAATTTTTCCACAAGCACGACAATGATGCTTCCTTCGAAAGATGGTGAACTCATCTGAACAGTTCATGCAACGATCGGTAGATGTATCGGGTACCCAAACGGGCGCGTGGTAATTATCAACTATCCGCTTTCTTTTGAAAGTGTCTTTTCGGTCTAGTGATACGTTATCTTCGGCTATATTTTTCAATTATTATATTGCAAAATTAGAGCATATACGAATTTATTCGGGTGTGGTATACGAAGATAAAAAATTATCTTACCGATTTTTAGCGTTCTTTTCGCACAAAGGTATTCCTCTTTAGCTTCACGAATGGCATTTATCCAAGCTTCTTTTTCTTTTAAGGTGTCAGCGTAGAGTGTGAAACTTTTTTGCGGGCTCATTAATTGAAAGCAATGCTTCATAACTTTAATTAAAAAAATAGAAATGATAAATGAACTAAATCGCAAATTTAAAGATTCAAATCATTTTTTTATAAGGTTTAAAAAAATGGTATTTACCGGCTGTATCTTCTAAAGAAATTACTGTCACATCTTCTAGCTCGAATTTTCGATGGAAATTATAAAGGTTCTCGACTATACCAGGACTAAAATTTAATGTTTTATTAAATGCGAGCAATCCATAAAAAATGAATGTGTCGATTTGAGAAAAAAACAAAAATTAACAAACCTGGCATATATCAAAATATCAGAAAACAAAAAAAATTCGCGTTCTTGATGATTCCGGCGACAAATCTACCAAAAAAAAATGATTCCATTAACCAAACAAAAAAATCTCACTACTCACGACTTTCAAAAAACACACCTTCTTAATAGTTCCTCTTTTAATAAAAGTCCGAGCAGGCACCAACAAAACCTCATCGAACCCGGTCAACGATTTCTGGATATCAAGCATTGTGATAAACATCTCGTGTTGTCGTATTGTCTCGTTGACAAACGTGGCGACGTTTTCGATAACTTGATATGCTTTTTTGAGATTTAGGTAATCCAGATGCTTTTCATCGGTCTTTTTTAGCAAGTCTTCGAGTAATAATTTGTAGCGCGGGATACGTTGTACTGGCATTATTAGATATGCTTGTAGTGTTAGGCCTTTACATTGTCCGGTTTTAATTACATTCTAAAGAACAAAAACATTTCCCAGCGAAAAAATATACATAAGTTATAAAATTTGATAATTGAAAATATAAGAGAATGCAAAACCGACCCGTAAAAATGACGAAAATGCTGGGTTTTCCCGTAATTGCACATCAATAGCAGCAAGTGCTGAATTGAAATTTTTCACATATATCGAATACATTTTAAAAAATGGCCCCTACACAAAATAGTATTAAACTATATGTCTTGTATAACAACTTTCGATAACATAAATTTGCGGGAAACAAAAAAAGAATACCATATTAAGAAATATATCTCCCACACATCCAATCTCGGGATTCCAAGTAATATCATCAACAGCACTTTCTTGTGATCCGCCCATAATTCTGTTCTCTAGCCTTCGTAGTAATTCAGTATTCAAACTCACAAGATCCAAGAAATTTGCGAATATTTCATTGATAAATTTTTTTGTTAGTATTGGATTTGCGGTGGAAAGAGAGCGAAGGAGGGGTTGTAGAAAAAGCTGAAAGAGGTAATATAAATTAGTTATTCTGAAACAAAAACTTAATTTAACATTAAATCACTTTTGAAGCAACACACGTACTCGTTGTACAAGCAAAAGACAATCAACATAATGTCGTTCAGTGGTTAATATCTCCCACGCGATATTATGCCGTTTTTGCATCATTAGATTCATTCTTAGACGAACGGAGCCTCTACTCTTTAGCTGTGCATTAAGCATTGATGCTGACTTAACAGAAGATATTGAAGATCTTAGCAAAAGCAAGTTAAAAGCAGTATTATCATCAGAACAATATGATGAATCACGCCGTAAATGATCCAAATTTGATTGTTGTTCTTGCTCTTGCTCTTGTTTTTTTGGCTTATCATCATTATAATTATTTTCATATTCTTCGTCTTCTTCAAATACAGTAATAAACGGCGCTATGGTAGTAACCGGCGTATTTTCAGAATCAGCCGAAAAAGGATTTTCCGGCACATTTTCAAGACTCGTAAAAATGGGCATTGAGGATCGACGTGCAGACGACGACGATCCAACATTACGTGAATTACTAATATTATTTGATGAATCTGAACTCGGGGGAGGCATTGAATACCGATGATGAGAACGACTATTATTTTCTTTTGTTATTGATAGGGGTTGAAAAGAGCCTTTGTAATAATGACGTGAAGCATTTATTTGCTCGCTGATTACAAGGTCATTTTGAGTGGGAGATGAGCTCAATATTGAAGTGTTATCTGTTATAATACTATCACGATTGTTTGTGTATATAGAAGTGTGTGTTGTAGATAGTGATGACGAAAGTATCGAGTCTGATAGTGCGTCGTAGTCACTATCTTGTGTTGTGGATGAAGCATGTGAAAGTGGTCTATTTGAGATTGGCACTGGTTCAACTGAACGATAATCTTCAGATAACTGATTACTGTTATTATCAACATTATTGTAATTACTATTAGGTTGTCTAAATAATTCTTCAAGACTTTTGGGTATCTCACTATTAATAGAAGACAACGACGATGTCGTCGTCGTTGTGCTCGTATTCTCGTGACTACTTTCGTTCAGTTTTCCCGTTTCAGGCGGTTTAAAAAGGAACCCATTAGATATACGTCTATCACCTGGTCCCTTTTGCATTATTAGTATGGACAATCTCGATTTGGCAGAAAGTCCATTCTTGTCTAGTATAGGAGTCGGAAGAACTACACTTGGAGATTCTAGTATCGGAGGGGGTTTATTAAATACCCACGACTGTCGCATGTTTGGTAGTATTGTTCGACGAAGGACGGGAGAACTGCTGTTATTACCACTACTACCTACACTACTATTACTCCCAGTAACGATTTCGCGATTTATTAGTTGTGTAATTTGTGTGTTCACTCGTAATGGTTTCTGCGCACGTATAGCGTTTTTATTGGGAAATAGAATTGAGTCACTGTTCTTTTTAGATTCCATTTCTTTAAATACTCTAGTTAAAAATTAGTTAATTTTTTGAATTAGGATTAATAAAAACTCATAAAATAAGGAAAAAGGGATGTCGCGACTGTCTCTTATTACATAATTCAGGGGCGTGTTTTATGTAACGAGAGATCGATAATAATTTTTAATGTCCGCTAGCATTAAGCTTAACATATGTATGAAATAGTCAGGAGACAAATGGACCCCCGTATCGGTATAAAGCTTGGCAAAAAGAACTTGTACCATTTTACTTTGTTAAAAATACTTAATTTATTTATAAAGATTCAATTTACATGTTCTTTTAATACTAAAGGAAGTTACATGATGATTATAACACATTCTCATATTTATATCATGAATGCTAGCATTCTACAATTCCTCCTTCACTTTCGCAGTAGCATATTGAATATTCTCCTTCACTTTATCAGTAGCAAATAGAACATTATCCTTAGCGGATTGACTAGTCTCAGAAAACTTCTTAGAAAGTTCCGCAATAAATGCATTAACCTTATCTTCAGTGACTTCACGCGCATCTTTAATATTATCGAATTGATTTCGAATGGTTTCTCGAACGATTTCCGTTTGTTCGCGACTAAGTTGTTGGGTAGCCATGAGTTGCTGTTCCATAGATTCGATGACGTGCGAAAGTTTATCTTTGGGTGTTTCTGGTTTAGGAGCGAATGCTTTTCGTACGGTTTCTGCAATGTTATTCAATTGTTCTTGACTAACGTCTCGTACGTGATAAGTAGTATCTCTGACTTGATTGGTAGAGGAATCGTATGTTCCTTTGATAGGGTAGAACAAATATCGATTGATTGTTTGAACAACTTCGTTGAATTGATCTATTGTTACGTTTTTGCCTTCTCCTATTTTTTGACTGAATTGATTGAGCGCGTATTGAATTTCATTGCGTACTTTTGCAAGTGTTCCCTCGACATCTTTATAGTATTCCTGCACTGCAGAGTTTAGCTGTGCGTAGATTCCTTTTACTTGCTCGATGGTCATGACTTTCTTGTTGACCAATTCCTCTTGGATACCTTGAAGAATGAGCGCAGTTTGAGTTTCGGTTCTTGCCGCAGCAAAACCAGTGGTACTAGACATTTTTTGAATCTCATCGTGGAACCAATTGACTGTGTCTTTGGAGAGATTTTTTGATTTTTGATAGTCCTTTTGAATACGATTAGTTGCCTCGTCGATAATTCGATCTCGTTGGTCTTTGGCGTTGTAATATGATTTTTGTACTTGATCAAGTGCATTACCGACACTCTTGTTTTTTGTGTATCCAATTCGTGATTTTATTTGATCAAAAGTAGAGTTGATTTGTTCTTCGGTAAGACCAGTCGACTGACGTAGCGATTCGATTGAATCGGCAATGTCTCGAGTAAAGTCATCAAGTTTATCCGCAGCCACCTCTTCATTATCAGTGTAACCTTTCATTATGTAAAAATAAGGACAAGATCAGCAACATGATATAAATATAAATGCACAATTTTTTGCTACTCACGATCTTTGATATAGTCAACGTAATAATTGACAAAGTCTTTAGCGTGATCTACAGTTGACTTTTCCTCGCCTTTAATAGCGTTTTTGGACCAATTTGATTTCACCAAATCAACTAATTCTTGTTTTTCAGGGGTCCCGTAATATCGAGTACGATGTTCCGCAAGCCATTCTTTAAGTTCATTAGTTGTCCAGGTGTTTGGATCATTAGGCTCTTTGAATTTGAAAATACAAAATTGTATTAAAATTTGAAAGTAAAAATTTAGAATATATTATTGCGAAAAAAATTTACCATGAACACCTCGAGTCGCGTAAACAGCAGCAAGCAAAGCAGTAGTAACAATAGCAAAGAAAATAAGAACAAAGTTTCGTGCTTTACTAGATTTCATCGCTCGACTAATGTATTCTTTATATTGGCAAAAACTGAATCCTGTTTCTTTGATGTATTTATTTTTTCCACTTAATTGCTGTTTTTGTTGTTGCTGGTGTGTATTATGAGTAGTGTTAGGGTTTTTCCTTGGAGTATTAGGAATGGGAGTGTTAACGGCTACTTCGTCAATAGTAGTAACAGCAGGAGTATTTTCTTCTTTGGTGTGTGGTATTCTCTTTATGGAAGTTGTATTTGAATTTTCCATATTTTTATTTCAGTGGTAGGTTACTGGGCTATTATATAGCTGATATGATTTTTTTCGTTGGATTATGATATATTGGTTTTTTTTGGAAGTTTAATAAAGTCGAGCTTGATTTATAATCGATTTATTTATGATAAATGCTATTTGATTTAGTGTGTGAAGACTTTTTTTATTCTTTTCTGTGTGAAAGAGTTATATGATATCAATTGTACGTCATTTCTCTTTTTTTAAGATAATACTTGCGTAATTATAAGAAACCGAATGCGCGCTTTTTTCGATTGTAGTTTATTAAATTACATTATGTACCGATACGTATGAAATATAGAAAATTTTGCAAAAAGTCACCAAAAGGTTAGTCCTTAAAAAGTCCACAACTGTCTTATTCGATCACCTTGTACAAAATGGTTACTTTATTTTCAAAGAACTTCGCATTATTTTTGTAGACTTTATTTATGCTCGAACGTTAGATGAGTAAGTAACTAATGTTGATATACATTAATATCCAATGAACTTGCGACTTTTGAATCTTGGATCTTGAATTAATGGTACCAGAATTATGATTTTTCTTGCTCATATTAAAAATAACTGATCGTTGAAACTTTTTTCAAATAACGATAATATTAGTGATGATACAAATATTGAATAAGAATGATGTAATATCTGCTACCATATTTTGTTACGATCAACTATGCATACCACTCGTTGACAACAATATATCGAACAAATATATACGTCATATATATCACTTTTTTCTCACCTTCATCAACAAGAACCTAAAATTCCGGAACTTTCCAAGAGGATGACGAAATCAGACTCGTGATAACCACTGCTTGGTGATCATCGTTTCTTTGATAGATACTACGGATTGTTCGTTTATTATCATTATATGTCGATTCACACATTCTCGCACATTTTTGGACGTTCTCTCTCCAACAACCTACGCCTTTTCAATCTTTAATTTATAAAGAGTATTCTATAAAAGAGTATCTTTTTTGAACGAATCGGCAAGAAGTTATATCTTTATTGAGAGCCCCTTGAAATGAAATTATTTCGTGCAGAAACCGGAAAACGACTTGCTGTTCGCAAGTCTATAGATGGGTATGAAATCTAATTTACATATATTTTTTGACCTGAAGCAGAATGTACCCTCTTCATAAGGTCCTGTTAGCGAATCAACCAAATTGTTTGACCACCAATAATAAATAGAAACTCATACAACTTCTATTCGACGTCGTCACCAAAGCGATTTAACAAATCGCTCGAATGATTTACCGCTTTTAAAACAGAAATACGCGTAATATATCAATAATTATTGGTTTTTTTTACTGTAATGTAGACTTGACACTCTAAAAGCAGAACTAGAGACAATTTCTGGCATTCCAAGAGCGTCACAAATATTAATGACGAGTTTCGGAATGGAATTAGTACCGGATATGATGGCAGAAGCTACACAGGCAGAGGGAAAGGTATAAATACAACGTTAGACTTCATAAATATGTAAACTTGATCTTGTTATTCCTTTATGCTCGTAATTCAATCACAATTTCGATCGATTAGGATGAATATATAATATTTCTGTTTAACCGGGAGCTTTTAGACGCTAGCGTAAAAAATGTTGATTCTCTCAGCGAAAATCCTATATTGGAGACGCCTGTAATTGGTATGCCGAAGAAAATAATTTTTTGTAATTCATCATATTATTTTTAAATTTACAAATTCATTTCTAATTTATTAATTAATATAAACCTAACTATGAACAGCATCAGCTGCAGCTGCAGCTCGTAAAAATCCTACAAAATTACGTAGGACCTGGGAGAACGTTAATCTGACAGAAGAATGTGGTGAATACATAAAATTGTTTCAAGCACTGCAAGCTCAAGGACAGGTGAAATTAAATAAATAATCGATAACAGCAATTTCTGCATATTCATTTAGCTAGAAAATTAAAAAAGCTCTTTAATTATCGTACCAATATTTATTTCCATAATTACTGGAAATTTATAATAGTCGTACGTACGATCTGCAGGAACGCATGCTGAGATATGTGAGCGATTCTATCAAGAGCAAAGAGTGCAATTGATGGCACTCGGTGTCGCTATGACGAATCTTAATTCTCATAGTCGGTTTGTATATTTAATAAAAAAAAAGTATTCTTTGAATTCTTCTCAAATACAGATATCTATATTCACAAGTCTTTTATTACCGTTTAAATTGCTAGTTCAATTGCAGAAGCTCATCAGGACTTCTACACATATGCCGTTAAAGAAATTTCTAAGAATGATCAAATAATCAAAAGGTTTTAAATTTTACTTGACAAACTTATGTTTATTTTGTGTCAAAAGACTCTAAAAAGTTTTTATTTAAATTCCAGTGTTCCCGAGAATTTTGAATTAATGCGGCGGATAACAATACATCCAGAACTACTGAGACTCTTGAGAAAAGATTCAAAACTAACACAACAGCCACCTTATGTCTTGATAAATTTTGTTGATGTGGATGAATTATCAGCATTAGCTAAGAAAGGACGCGAGGTTTTTGGTTAGTTTTTTATTTTATAACATTGTAGATTTTGAGCCTAAAATTTATATAAATCATTTAATCTTGAATTTAAATGGTTTTTTGCGTTATAGAGCACCTTTCGAAACAAGTTTCTGATCTTGATCAAAATGTTCGATTGGTGCAAGAAGGCACTGAAAATTTGCAAAAGAAATCATTTAATGGACAGTAAGTAGAATTTAAATAATATTCTTATTTTTATCCAAGTTATTTATTTGTCATAATTTTTCAAATAGTTTTCCATCAATGGAAACTCAATTGACAAAAGTTCGCGAATTATTCGAATCGATAAAGAAATTCAGTGAGACGCTGGAACGAGGTTTGTTTTATGTTTCTTGGTATTAATTTTAAATTATTCCTGAATATTCTAAGAATAATAAATATTCATAATAATATTTTTAGATTTGGAACGTGTGAAATCCAAAGTGGCAAATCTTTTAAATCCGAGTAGCTCGAATAACGATACCAATGTATCATCAGCAGCTATAAAAACTATCGAGGCATTCGAGCAGCTCGCATCTATTCATGCACGCGACTACATACCAGGTGTGTAGTATATATTACAAATAATTTTTCTCGCATTTTTTTAGTCTCCGACTTTCAGTATTTTTATATGTATATTTCAATAAATACTTAGATATGGAAAAAAGGGATCAAAACATTCGCGAGCAAGTAAAGATATTTACTCGGTGGAAGGTACCTAAAAGTTTCATTTCACTTTATATATAATGTCACATATTGCCCATGATAAGTTTTATTTGTTACTTAATAGAATACCTTCACAGTAACACTAATATCCAGTCTTCAAGAAATATCAAAACTCGAGTCTTCTTTGGCTCGAATACCTAATACGCTGTCCGAATTGGTTACACAAATACGTGAACAAGATTATAAACGGTTATGGGATGTACATCAAATACCGCTCGCTTACGTAAGGGTTTTATGTTTTATTCGCTGTTATTTGTCGATTTCTTTAAATAACTAAAAAAATTTGGTTTATTAATCAGGGAATGACTATAGTAGAAATTGTGAGGAGAAAAGAGTACACTAAAGTAAATAAATAATGTTACATTTTATATATAGTATATGCATTGTACTAATTTATATTACACAATTTAGCTGCTCCTTGAAAAGTCACATGTCGTCGCAGAAGTAATGGCACATTTTCGCGAGCTAGAACAAAAACGGCGCGATGTGTATCGTCTTGAACTTAAGAAACATGTGCCATTCAATCTACCAGGTTGGCATATATATTCGTACTTGATCAATCTTTGAAATAAATCTAGATATTTTTGGGTAAAACTGATTTCTCTATTAAAATTAGCGCTAGACGAGAATCCACCATCATGCGAGATTTCAATGCCAAATATTCGAGATGACCAGCTCCCAGAATTTTCTCGAGAAGATATTCAAGGTATATATACAAAAACCAAAAATGAATAGTCAATTAATCTCATGATATAACTAATGCTACTTATCTACCCATTATAGCATTCTTGGACCTAATCTCACAAATGTCCTCACCACATACAAATCAACGGCCCATAAGTCAACAGACTAAATCCGTTCGACAATCGCAAGCATCCGAAGATCCGTATTTAGCATTGCAAAACACGCTGATCAAATCTTTTGGACAACTGGAGGGGATGAATGCTGACTTTCAACGGATTGTCGAGAAAAGATGTAAGTGCTTTCTAATCAAAGTGTAATCATCATTCGCGTTAGATTGTTTTCAAGTTTTAATAATTCATATTATCATTTACACAATCTCATTCTAGTCATTTCTGATAAAAAAGGCCTCGTCTCTGTTTATAGTTGTGAGTAATGCATATTTTTCTTAAAAAAACTCTTGTATGAACATTTTGACCAATTGATTAAATAAATCATTATTTTTTTAACTCGAAAAAGCTCGAACACCTACTTCTTTATCACCAACTATGCAATTATCGTCAGTTGGACGACGCGAAAAGCGTAACAACCGACAAAATATGTCCGAGAACGATGCCTCGTTTGACTATAACAACTCTAACTTTGATCTGTTGCTCATGGAAAAAACGAAGCAGCTCGAAGGAGCTGAAGAAAAGTTAAAGGTATTAATTAATTAATTAATTACATTATACAATAATTATACGCATTTTTTCCATAAATATTTTATTTACTCTCTCATTTACATATATACTAATTGTACAGGCATACGAATCGCGTATAAAAAGCCTCGAAAATCTACTACAAACAAACTATAAAGCATCAAAATTCACAACGCTTCTTCCCAACCCAGATCCGTCTCAAGAAAAAGCGTTTACAACTACACAAGAACTAAGCAACCTAAAATCTACACACGCGGGCGTTCTAAAAGAAAAGGACATTCTGGAGAGAAAGACAAAAGATATCGAGGCGCATTTTCGAGAAATGGAGTCTCAGTATGGACAATTGACGAAGGATAAAGGTGAACTAGAAGCGAGGTATAATGGTAGTGTTAAAGAAAAAGAGACACTCCAAAATCGTGTCTTTGATCTAGAAAAGAACCAACAAGAAATGGCTGGTTTACTAGAAGAACTGAAAAAAGAAAAAGAAGCATTGTCTAGAAGAGCTATTGAAATGGAACAGCGATCACAAAATCTGGAAGCTTCGCTTACTGAGGTCTGCAAAGATAAACAGAATCTTGAGAATATCTATTTTGATACGTTGAGAGAAAAGGATGCAATCGAAAAACAAAAAGAAGAGCTTGAGAAGCGGTGTCAGGATGTTTCCAAGGAAAACAATACCAACAGAAATACCTTCCAGGAATTGGAATCGTACATTGAAGAGCTCAAGGACTTCGAATCTAAATCTTCTTCGGAAATCGCTTCCCTCAAAAAGGTGATCGAAGAAAATGAAAAGTATAATGAAGAAGCGAAACAGACCGAAGCGAGTTTGCGTGAAAAAATACATAGCTTGGAGATAGACTTTGCCCAAACAGAGCGTATGTGTGACTTGCACAAAGAGAAATGGGACGAAGCAAATGTTGAAAAGAAAAAATTCGAAAAAATTAAAAATGAATTGGAGCAGCAGCTGGCAGATCTTCAAAATAATATGCAGATAATGAAAGAAGATTTCGATCAGCAGTATGATAAGTTGCATGAAGGACACGAAACGGTTAAAAAGGAATTGATGGACAAAATCCAAAATCTTGAAGAGCGTTATGAGAGTATGCTGTTGGAAATGGTACTGTATAATTTTATTATCCCTGTTATTCCTGTTATTCCTATTATTTCTATATTTCATGTTATGACATCCTTTTGTTTTATATGTATAGCTTGATAAATGTGAAGAACATAAGAAAGAATGCGAGAAGTATGAAAAAGAAATCGAAAATCTTCAAGAAGCTTTGGATTTGGCAGATCAAGATTGGAAAAAAACGGTATATGATAATATTTGCATTATATTAAATACTTTAAACATTTGACAAAGATATATATATTAACTAAATTATTTTATTATGTTATGAAAACAGTTGGCGCGAAATCTTAGTGAATATGAAACACATCGCGATCAGTTGCTTGCAGAAATCGAACTGTTGAAACTCAAGGCAAAGGCTGAAAAAGAAGCTGAAACTCAGGTATCTATTATTTACCGATTTAATAAAAATATGAACATTTATTCAGTTATGTATTTTTATTATACTAATATCTTTTTCTGCTATTTTTTAGACAAAAGAAGAACTTATAAAAGCACAAGAACGAATTGTCCAGATCGAAAATGATTTGATGGATTTGAAGTTGCAGCTCGCTCAAGTACATATAATTATAAATTATTAATTTTGTCGGTTTTCATCAATTATGTATTTAATTATTTTTTTTAATTATTATTTAGTACGATGAAACGACGAAAGTATTGAGGGCCGAAAACACAGATTACCAAGAAGCTCTTCGAAAGGTTAGTTGGATTTCGATAGTCCTTTTGTTATTAATCATTTTCGTAATTAATTGTTTGTCTATTTGGATCGTTTCAATTATTAGAGCGATAAACTCGTCAAAGAGATAACAGAATCCATACTACAGAATCTGCCAACTGTAGTTTCAAATGTCGGCAGTTCCTCTGATTCTGAACAGGTAAATATTTCATCAATTATTCTCCTGTTTTTTGCTATCCAAATCCAAAAATTTATAAACTCGAAACAAATATTTTAAATAGATCATGCCCTCGTCTTTAAACATCAACCCAATAAAATTAATACGAAAACTCGGGATCGCTCTAAATCTACTCAATAAGGAGTTTCAGGAACAACGTCAGGTAAGAAATAGATTCTTTTGAACATTAACATAATTAAAAAATAAACAGCCCATCATAAATCTCTGTTTCTTAGTCACTGGAGGATACACGTAGAGACTGCGATGGACTAGAATCTGATATGAAAGAACGAACAACCTATGCTCGTTTACTAAGTAAAGAACTATGGGAATACTACAGCCACATAAGAACTCTAATGAGTGATATGCAAGTAGCTATCCCAATAAGTCTGAACATAAGACCTCCATTCGAAAAGATTTCCGAATTAAGCGATGACGAAAGATCGAAATCGCCTGAACCGACGCTTTCGGATTCGTATCTTGCTGAAGACTTAAATCAGTTCTTCAATAATTATACTTACAATGATGACAATCGAGATCAAGAAAACGAGTGGCCTAAAGATAAATATGAATTGTTGATCACATTGGCTCAAAAAGTTGATCTCGAAGAAGTACGAGACTTACTACGTCGATCGCCAAAAGAGGCTGAAAGCTTGGCAAGGAAATATCAAAAGGGATACAAGAATTATAAGGGTATTTATAACTATTGGTTCTATATTCTATTATTCTATTGCTACTGGTAGTTATTATATCTTCGATGTATATTGACGATGCATTTTATATATTTAGAAAAACACATAAAAGCATTGGCAGAATCAAAGGATAAGATCGCCTTCCGAAAGTGAGTTTATCATAATAGATTCATATATGAATTTTCTTTTAAATTATAGAAAATATTAACCATTTGGTTTGAAATTTTTAGCTTCAAGGTCGGCGACTTGGCACTTTTCTTACCGACAAGAAACTCAACAGCTAAACCATGGGCCGCATTTAACATCAGCTTCCCGCATTATTTCCTACGATCCAACGATTCAATTAACAATCAAACGAAAGAACGAGACTGGATCGTATCAAGAATAACTGGGATGACCGAGCATGTTGTTGATAAAGCGGTATGTAAATAATCTATGAAACAAAGATGTTCACAATAGTTGATTTTTCTATTGTCTGTATTATCTCTTTTATAGGATCCAACCTCCAATCCATTTGATCTGCCAAATGGAGTCAAATTCTATTTGTTGGATGTTGAGAACTTGGAAAATTCACCTCAGCAAATTAGTAGCCATCATCGTCGACGAACTGATTCGATGAGGCTGGAGAATACCCGAGACAACAGTCAAACCATGTCGATGAGTGGTATAAAATCAATGAGCAGCTCTTTATCGAATTTGACTACAACTACTATATTCGAAGATCTGTTCTCAACGCGAAGTCCTAGCTCAAGATCAAACCCCAAGCGAACAACAGATTACTCGGCACAACAACAGCCACTACGTACATCTAACACAGACTATAATAATACTTTTGCTAGTAGTGTTGACAATAATGATATCGACAACGCGCCACCAACTCCATCTAAACGTCGGTCATTCATTGATGCTTTGACTCCCAGCCGATATCTTTCGGTATTAAGTATGTCATCACCATCAATAGCATCTCCACCAGACGAAGAAACCGTGGAGAACTCAATATTCACCTATCAATGATTATAATATTCGTCAGCCTCAACAGCAAAATAACAATACTCTTGCTATATATGTATAATATGTACACAAAACGCATCTTTATTCTTCTATTAGATTCTGAAAATGGAAATTTATAATCTGTATGATGAACGAACATTGGTATTTCGCATAGATGATTTAATTAGATTAATTTTTTTTATTTTTTTATACGTTGGATGGTGGACCTATTCCTTTTCGCACTTCTCTGTTTGTAATTTAATTTTTCTTCAACTTAATCAAAAGTATTTCTTTTAACCCACTATTCGTCATTAATTGGCTAGTTATCATTCATTCCTTTCAATATACACGAAAAGATCGCTTTTGAACAACCTTTACAGTCTCGATGAATTTTATTAGTAATTATGTATCAGTTTGCACACAATTAATCAAATAATTTAATAGCTAATTTAACTTTAATAATAAATCTTCAAAGTGTGCGTGATGCAGGCATCAAAAGAAATTAACATTATTCTAGTACGCTATATTTTCTGCGAAGTTGCATCATGCCAACTTATTTACCTTTAATAGATTGATAATTATAAGTAAAAAGCGGTTACGCTATTGGCTCAGGATATAGAGTATACTTCTTTGCTCGATCATACAATGCTTATTAACGTAGGACTCTCCTTTGAATAGTAAACAATTTCAAATCCTTTTCGGCCTTTGTTCTCTCCTCTATAGAAAATGCTCGTTTAGTAATGCGCCTATTTTTTGTCTATTCAAGTAAGTTATCCATTGATCAAAAGTACCATTTTTTGCAATTCGTTCGTCGCCCATAAGAATTGGTCAGGAAAAGGAGAAGAAATTCCTTCAGCCTCGTTGTTCAACGAAAATATACTTTATACACATTTTGCAATTTGAAAATATAATTTCGAAATTGCTTGACGCAGATTTTTTTGTACGCGTATAGCTTCATTGAATTTTTTTGACAGATCCATACTGATACTTTTATTGAAAATTAATAATTAGAATTAAATAGTAATCATCGTGCATTAACATTCGAAAAAATCTCAACAGGACTTAATCTACGCATTTTCTTGATAGTTTTTGAGTATGGCATCAATCGTAAAAGTCTAGATCGTTGAGTTCTATTTGCAAATGCAGGTTTCAGTAAACGTCTGAGACGACTACGCGACACGCCGGTGTTCAAATGCTGTTTACCGGTTCTTAATCGCTGGAATATACCGCCTGGCAGTCCGCGCCATCTAATCAACCAGGATGTCAAAAAAAAAGAATTTATTGCATTGTCTGAAGGAATTAATTGAAATTTACTTGCCGTTTTTTAGTGCCAGTATGCGTCTTTAATTTTCTGTAAGATGCATGACGTACAGGAATCAATTTGCACCAGTTATCATTATTATTATTGGTTTTGTTAAATGATGAAAGAGAAATCGATGATAACAAAGAATTTGGGGTTAAAGAAACGATTGATCTCTTTTTAATATTCATCAACATTAATGTTGATAATTCTGCGACATTCCTTGTTTTCGTGATAGCACAGGAATTTGATGAAGAGAAAATCTTCGATAAAGATGATAGAGATGCAACAGGAATAGAAAGAGCAGCATTAGTAATATCTCTACAGATAGGAAAGGTGGAAAGTATCGTCATATTCTTGATGGCATTGTTTTGGGATAGTATACGATGAAAATTTCTTTGCATGTTTGTTGTATAATAATGAATTTCCGAAAAGAAAGCGCGTAATTATGATAATTTTTATGAGGCGCTTAATCACGTGAATCCGTGAATTTGTTTGCGATCAAATTCGCTGGTTAGATTCGATTTCCGAATGAGAATTTTACACTAATTATGTATGGCGTTCTATTTTATATACTTTTAAATGTAGAAGAGTTTTTTCTCTGCAAAATTACTAGGTTTGATGCTTTTTTTTATACAATACTGACACGAAAGTTTATTCTCGTTAATTCAAAGTCAACGTGATAAGATAATGCTCTATTGCATATATTGTATAAAGTTGATTCAAGATCAAGGCGGTGTTTAACTTATTTTGATAAATCATTATAACTTTTAATGGCATTTATCGGATGCACCCCTATTTAGTATTCTTTCAAATTACTGGAGCAGTTCAAGTATTCACATGAATTTAACGCTTGACGAAAGTTTTCACTTTTTAACCATCTTGCTTATTGTATGTTCTTTCTATCCATTGAGTTAGATATACACCAAGGATAAATTTTCCACGATTTCATTGATAACATGGCCAGTCCGGTCTACAAACTTGCCCAACAACTAGGTGAACTACTCCAACTACATAAATTAAAATTGACCACAGCCGAATCCTGCACCGGCGGCCAATTAGCACAAGCCATTACAATGATACCAGGTAGTTCAAGTTGGTTCGAACGTGGCTTTATCACTTATTCCAATCTTTCAAAGCAGCAAATGTTAGGCGTGCACACCGACACCCTGAATAATTATGGTGCGGTTAGTGAACAAACTGCTAGGGAAATGGCACAAGGCGCTCTAACACATAGCTCGGCTGATATTAGTATTGCTGTAACCGGAATTGCGGGACCCGAAGGTGAGGGTCCAGACAAGCCACCAGGCACTGTATGGTTTGCTTGGACTTGCGAAGGTTTTGGGACCCTAACCCACTTACAAATATTTAGCGGTGATCGTTTATTTATCCGCGACCAAGCTGTGGAATATGCTTTGCAAGCATTAATTAAATTTACAAATTCTAATAAGCCTAAGCCAAAACTGGAAATACCTGTTTAAAACTTAATTGTAACTGTAATCATTATCATAAATGTAATCATTATCATAAAAAATGTAATAAATGTAACCATTATCATAAATGTAAAATGGCTTCTGGAACTTTGTGCAAAATATTTTGTGGAATAACTTACATAGAAAATTCAAATAATCCATTTCATACTCTTGACCTTTATCTTCCTTTGCAAAGTAATTATCATAATGACACCAATAAAGAACTAGCTACAACAAATCCTCCTTCACTTCTAGTATGGATACATGGTGGTGCCTGGCGTTCAGGAGACAAAAAAGATCACACCTTGACCGCTGAAAACCTTTCAAAACTTGGTAATATTGCAGTCGCAGTAATTAATTATCGTCTGAATCCACGAACTTTCACTCCTGATGGAATAAAACATCCAGCACACATAAATGATGTTGCTAGCGCACTAAAATTTCTTTGTAAGAAGGGTGAAGCGTTCAATTATAATTCCGAAAAAATCTATTTAGCGGGACATAGTGCTGGTGCATTTATGACCGGACAACTTGTTTTTTGCCCCGAATATATTGATGATGACGATGTGTACGCGCGAATTTGCGGTGTTATAGGAATGGAAGGAATTTATGATATTCCAAGGTTATTAGCCACTTGGCCTACTTATATTGATTTCGTCGAGGCTGCGTTTGGCAAAGACGAAAAAATTTATAAAGACGCGTCGCCTCAATACCATTCGTTGAAAAAATTCAATAATGAACATGTAAAAAAAAGAATCCCGCCTCCTTATTTAATTATATATTCGTATGAGGATGAGCTTATTGATTTTGAGCAGTCGCGAAGTTATCAACAACATGTTTGTGAAGAAGGTGGTGTTTATGTGGAGATTGAAACTAGTTTACTCGGAAAACACGATGCAATTTTGGAAACTGAAGCATTGCATAAAAGAATTATCGAATTTATTTCAAAGTTTAAATAATTGGACTTTAGTAGTAGTTCTCACGGTGCCAATGCAACAGCTTTAATCTCAATCAATAGTTTTGGCTACTCGATAAAATAAAATAAATCAGAATCCCTAAAACAATCAAATTACTGTACTAATAATATTACTCGTTACTACTAACCGAGGGCAATTGCTTTACAGCGACAGTAGTCCGAGATGGTCCGGTCTCCGCCTCGAAATATTCGTTATACACCTCATTAAATGCCGCGTAATCTCTCATGTCCACGAGAAACACGGTAATATCAACTAGATTTTTTAATGACGCGTCAATAGATTCGAGAATTCCCTTGATATTTTCAAGAACTGCTCGTGTCTGTGCTCGAATGTCTAATTGAAATGTACCGTCTGATAGTTCAGTTACCTTTTTCAAATAAAATATCATGATCGTAGTTAATGAAATATATACGATGAAAAATTACACCCGTAATATAAAATTTAATGTTTACCCCTTCGTATCTATACAAGAAAATTCATTTCTCTATTTACTATCTTTTCTTGCCAACAGAAATTATTCAAAAAAAAAAGGAGAAAGTGCGTGTATATTATCTATATCTAAATATAAAAATATAAAAAATTCCTCACGTATTATCTAACTTTCGCGAAGATATCCCCGACACGAAAATTAAACCGCCTGCTACTCGGGCGTGCGGGTAATGCGCCAATGCTTGTGCTTTAGCCGCAAGTATAACCGCTTGACCATTGGGAAAAAAGTCGACGGCGAGGTTTTTAGACATTTTTGCTGGTCAATTCAGAAATAATTATCGAATAACGATAATGATTCGAAAAGTATTTTCACGTGAATCTAGAAAATGAATTTTTCTCGAACATTCATTTTATACAAATAATGCGCGTAAAGACCCAATTTCGAAAAGCCGGTGACCTTTTGCAAAGGCATTTAATAGAAACTAGAATAAAAGAAGCTAAGCCTTCCATATTTTCTCCCAGACCATTCGCCTCAATACAATATTACAATACTCGCAGTCGTAGCTACGCTACAGAAACGACAGGAACAGCGGCGACAACATCGAAAACAACAGCAACAAAAGAAGTCAGCTTCACTACTGATCAATATCCTCGGTATAAAAGAAACCCGAACTTCAAAGAGGTTTGTTTTTTTTAAAATAAAATGAATATTTTGGCTTATTGAAAATTGGCATTTATATTGTTTTATTTTATAGTTATCAACTGATGATATTGATTTTTTCAAATCGATTCTTTCTCCAAGTGGAATTCTCGTTGATAATGGGAAGAATTTCGATGATTTGTTACCGTATAATCTTGATTGGATGCGCAAATATCGTGGCAAGTCACGTCTTGTTGCTAAACCGAAGTCCACCGAGGAAGTTGCTGCTATATTAAAATATTGCAACGAGAACAGGTGTGCGTATATTTTAAGGGCGAGTTTTTATAATCTACATTTAATTATAATATCCATTATGTGTATTTATTAATCTTTATAATAGATTGGCTATTGTTCCGCAAGGTGGAAATACTGGTCTCGTTGGTTAGTCTACTAAAAATATATAATATCAATATCATTATTACTAGAGATTATGTGAAAATTATTTAATTGATATATGATAATAGGTGGTGGTGTCCCAGTTTTTGATGAGATAATACTTAGCACTAATAATTTAAATAAAATTAGAAGTTTTGATCCTCTATCTGGTAATATACAATATTCTTATTTATTTTGTTAGTTTATACTTTATTCAACTAATATCTCTTATTAATTTTTATGTATATATCCAATATATTAGGTGTTCTTATTTGTGACGCGGGATGTATTCTTGAAGTACTTGATAATTATCTTGCTGAGCGTGGGTATATGATGCCATTAGATTTGGGTGCAAAGGGCAGGTAAAAATTCATTTAGTTTAGATATTCTTCTGTTATAACAACTTTGCTTTATTCGAGAATTGAACACAAATATTAAACGACATAATTATTTTGATAATGATAGTTGTCATATTGGCGGAAATGTTGCCACAAATGCAGGAGGACTTAGACTTTTACGATATGGATCACTCCATGGCTCAGTATTAGGTTTAGAAGTGGTATGTTTTTGTGCTTTTTTTTTTTAGAAAAGAGCATGAACTCAGAGAGATAGATTTACAGGTGCTTCCAGATGGAACAATTCTACATAATTTGTCTAGCCTTCGTAAAGATAATACTGGTGAGTGTGTTATACCTATTGGAGTGTATATGTTATGATATAAGCAACTAATTTATTGCAATTTTAATATATTGTGATATGCAGGATATGATCTTAAGCAATTATTTATTGGTTCGGAAGGTACACTCGGTATTATTACCGGGGTTTCGATTTGGACGCCGAAAAAACCAAAGGCATTTTTATTTTATTGATTTAATTTAATTTAATTTATTTTATTTTATTTTTTATTATTGATACCATGAGCTGGTTTTTCAAATAGGCCGTTAACGTTGCTGTATTTGGATTGAACTCTTTCCAAAAAGTGCAAGACACATTCATAAAATCCAAAGAATATTTGACGGAGATTTTGTCTGGTATCTTTTATTTTGGATTTTATCAGTTTTTTGTTGTCACATACATGTGTTTTGTTGTGTAATATATAAAATTATTTTTTAGCTTTCGAATTTTGGGATTCAGGCGCACTTAAACTTCTAAAGCTTCATCCTCGTGGCAGGAAATTCCCAATTGAAGGCGATCATCAATTTTACGTGTTGGTTGAGACGCATGGCTCGAATAAAGAGCATGATGATAAGGTGTTTCTTTTACTTATTTCCAATAAAATGTAAATATTATTAGATTCCGAAGATCAGTAATAAATAATCATTGAAATTATTAGAAACTTGAGAAATTCTTGGAAGACATGTTAGGAACACAAGTAATCGAAGACGGAGTTCTAGCACAAGATACCACCCAAATAAAAGATCTCTGGTCTTTCCGCGAAGGTATCCCGGAAGCGTGTAGCAAGGCAGGCGCAGTATACAAGTACGATATATCGATACCGGTCCCGGTTCTTTATCAGATGGTACAAGATGTGAAAAGTCGGTTGATGGAGGCAAATGTGTTTGGTGAGAATAAGCTGGTTACTAATGTTATTGGGTATGGACATATTGGAGATGGTCGGTATATTCTTGTCGGATTTTTTGGTCAATTGGAGGGATTTTATGGTTATAATTAACGAATTCATCTTTTAGGGAATTTGCATTTGAATATCACGGCCAATTCTTACGATCCGAAAGTAACAGAGTTGATTGAGCCTTTTGTATACGAGTGGACAGGTAGGTGCAAATTGTTATTATTAACGGGAAAAACTCTAATTAATATGTATTTTCCTTTTTTAATATATATTTAATATTTTTCAATAGAAAAACATAAAGGATCGATTTCTGCAGGTACTATTTTAATAATCAATTACAATTTAGATTCACATTTTGTTGTTTTTATTAATTTTATTATTATTTTTATTATTTTATTAATATTAGAACATGGACTTGGTTTAATGAAAGCGAATCATCTTGGATACTCGAAATCGCCACAAATGATTAATTTAATGAAAACATTTAAGCAAAGTTTAGATCCATTAGGAATAATGAATCCATACAAGTTCTTACCTCAATGATAGTAAACATAAATAAAAATATCCTGTCAATCTCAGCTTTTTACTGATGTCTATGATATTTACTGATGTCTATGATATTTGCTATAGAAAAATGAATAAATAAACCAAAATTGTCTTGCCGGCCAGCCAATCCAATCAAACCATCAGCCATCGAACCAATCAAGCAATTATTCGACCTGATCAGTTCATTGAGACTGGTACTTTTTCAAAGCAGCAATTTCATCCAATATCTGTCGAATTTTTTCGTCTTCGACTTTATGTGCGAGGCTGGCGCGATCACATAAAATATATATTTATAGTAGTAATTTTGATTTTATTCCGCATGTACATTCGAATAAGTAATATGACTGAGACAGAATAACAGAAGGACTTACCTTGGAATCAACGACTTCACTTCATCAACCTCCTCCGGACACAAATTAGCCAATTGTGCTAACTCGTACTTGTGGATATTGTATTTGAGTAAGGTTCTGATTGAAAACAGAATGCAAATATATATATCACTTTAAGATATATAGGATATACGATAAAAATTACGATTACATACTTTCGAAGTTCGGTCACGGCTTCTTGGTTGTGAAATTTACTGAAGGTGTTTACATATGATTGTGTTTTTTGAAAATTACTTTATTATTCGAGAGTGGATACAGATGGATCGATAAATTTACTTGAATAATCAATTCACGAAAAAAAGGAAATCATCAGACACAGTTTTGATCTATCAGGTTTATCGCTATTTTTACCTAGTTTGAGCTTGTCCTGGTGGCGTACGTTCCAAAAGTAACGCAGCCTCAGAAATGAACAAGAATTCTGCACCTTCAAAGTCTAGGAATATGATTAAATGTCAATTATGTGAATTAAATAAACTCCATAACTCAATAATTCATTCAAATTAATTATTAATTTTAATCTAATGGTTATTGGTTATTGTAATTATTACTTAAAAAACAAACCTTCACCAAAGGCAAGTTTCGCGGCATCATCTTCTTCCGGTGGGGCTTTGCGACCACGTGGGGTCGGTTGTGACATAATTATTATAATACGAAAGAAATAAGGATAGGCTGAATGAAATTACATAAAACCAAAAAAAAAAAACTTTAATTAGTATTGCTAAAAAAGTTAAATCTACATCTATATTATGTACCGTAAATGGTCTGTTACACCATGATTCAGAAACCTGTATTATATACCCGGGGTCTATTACACTATCGCTATAATTTCTAATGATTACATTATTCAACTTTATATAATAAACCTGGTTTTATTGAATTTGCTGTGTTAATAGCCGAGATTTTGCACCGGTTACAATACAGGGGGGTCTACGATCTTTTATACAGTATGTAGGATCTTTTGTATATCATATAGAATTCTCCTTTTGTAGGATCATTTGTAGAATCTTGTATGATAAAAATTATCATCCGACATAGAAGTTTTAAACCACATTTTTTATTACAAATACTTTCTATTATCGTTATGAATGAGAAACTGAGAACCAATCAATCAAAATTCAATAACGTTATATTTCACAAACATAATCACTCGTCGCCGTAGAATTTGGCGTCTGGACGCGACTCGAAAATAATTGAGTCCAATATATATAGTAGAATTTAATGATCATCCAAGGATGCAAAATTCTTATAAAAAAGTGGCAGGGAAACACCCCTTTCTTAATATCACTGCTACTAATAACAATGGCAAGAATAGTAAGAGACTCAGTAAATTAGTTACATATAGCCCCCCTTATTCCTTCTCTTCCATTTCCGCCTCTTTTACGCATTTTTCACGTCAAAGACCATCAGGATTACTACCATTTAGTAGCATCTACAAATCGTCAATAATTGACAATAACAATAATATCAACACAAACTCTATAAAGAACACAAATATTTATTCTAGATTTAGATTTATGTTTTACTATACAGCTTCAAGTAGTGAGGATGGCAGTGGTAATGGGTCGGGTAAAGAAGGTATTATCTTTGAATTTACACAGACATATTTACTTTCCCTTTGACCACCATGAAAAACCGTTAAATGATTAATTATAGAACGAAAATCAGGCAAAATTCTCACTATCGACAACATAAATCCACACGTAAAAAAGGTTGAATACGCTGTACGCGGAGAACTTGCAATCCGAGCAGACAGTATATCATATGAACTTTTAGAGCCTTGTAGTAAATATACATTTAAAAAAATTGTGCATTGTAACATTGGCAACCCACAACAATTAGGTCAAAAACCAATCACTTTTTTTCGGCAGGTTAGTATCTATGATCTCTGCCTATTACATAATTTGATATTCATAGCGCATGATACATTGTGATCTAAAAAAATGACGGATTTTGTAGGTTGTTTCATTGACACAATACCCGTATCTCTTATTACCAGAAAATCGTTCCAAACTCGTGACTTTGTACCCAACGGATGCTATAGAACGTGCACAGACGTTACTAGAGAATATCGGTAGCGTCGGTGCTTACTCTCATTCTCAGGGTATTCAACATATTAGAAAAAATGTGGCGAAATTTATCGAAGGTTGGTTGATAAAATTATTAGTTTGCCTTTCTTATATCATCACTTGATTACTCATAAATTCGGTAATATACTAGAACGAGATGGTTATCCCTCGGATCCAAATCTTATATTTTTAACGCAAGGAGCATCAAGTGGTGTTCAAAATATGCTTCAAATAATTACCGAACATCCAAATGTTGGCATCATGATTCCCATTCCACAATATCCTCTATACTCTGCATCAATATCATTATATAATGCAAGACCAGTGCACTATTATTTAAATGAAGAACAAGATTGGAGTCTCGACATAAGAGAAATTACCTCATCCGTATCAAAAGCACGTAAAAACGGTATAGATGTTCGCGCACTGGTCATCATCAACCCCGGAAATCCTACCGGACAATGTCTTCCTCTAGAAAACATGCGAGACATAATAGATTTCTGTCATAGAGAACGAATAATTTTACTAGCTGATGAAGTATATCAGACAAACATCTATCAACCGGAAACACGTCCGTTTCACTCTTTCAAAAAGGTACTACGATCGATGGGTGATGCGTACAAAAATTTCGAGCTCGTCTCTTTTCATTCAATCTCTAAGGGAATGATCGGCGAGTGTGGTCAACGTGGGGGGTATTTTGAATTAACGGGGATTGATGCAAAGGTAGCTGAACAATTGTACAAGGTTGCGTCGGTTGATTTGTGTCCGAATGTTATTGGACAGATTATGGTTGATTTAATGGTAAATCCTCCGAAGCTGGGTGAACCTAGCTACGAACAATATAAAAAAGAAATAACGGCTATTTATGAGAGTTTAAGAAGACGCAGTCAAAAATTGGCAGTGTGTTTTAATGAGTTGGAGGGGGTCACTTGTACCAATGCTCAGGTATCTTATCTTTTCATCTAGTGAAAGAAATTATGTGTATATCAGATAATCTAATCTTTTGTTGACTTTAAGGGCTCAATGTACTGTTTTCCTACAATCCGTCTACCTGAAAAACTGATAAAGGCTGCACTAACCGCAGAAAAACAACCCGATGAATTTTACTGTCTGGCGATGTTGGAAGCTACTGGTGTCTGTGTAGTACCCGGTAACGGGTTCGGACAAAAACCGGGCACTTGGCATTTTCGAAGTACTTTCCTGCCATCCGAAGAGCTATTTGATGAATTCTGCGATGGGATACGTAAATTCCATCGTGAATTTTTTGAAAAGTATAGAGATTGATTAAATTATTTTTTCTGATACAAATAAAGATGAACACGTACATTTATGTCTAATCACATTATAAATACGCCGTTATCTGCAGGGCCGCCTTGGAAAATTGTTTCGTTTATATTAGTGTTTTGACTGTATTTGCTGGAGTCATTATGGTGAAAAGTGTGATCAGCACTCCAGTTATCTCCAAGTATCATTGTGTGCACAAATCCCATAAAAAGCGCGTCATTTTTTCACATTATATTGCGTATTTTATTACATCTTATTGTTCGATTCCACATCCTAGTGAGAAAGACTAAACAGAGATCCATTCATATATTCCAGTTGCCATATCTCCCGATTATGACGCCTTTATCCTACTAAAAAGGCCATAAGTCTTTTTACGAGAAAGCTGACATCATTAGCTAGCTCCTGACCCCATTAATTAAAATATCCGATGTCTTCTAACAGCTTCCCGATTCGTGCTTTCGTTGCGAGCTTTGGCGGTAGTGATCTCATTATATAGAGGCAGAAATCGGAATTTAGTGATCTGTGAAGTCTCTATATATACATAGAAGTATGATCCAATCCGTATCGTGTGTAAGTTCGTTCATTTGAATCATTAGCGTTAGTACGAATAACAAATATGAAAAACTATATAAGTGACTCTTCGGTGTTAATGTTTGAAGTTATGTCTTAAAAAACAAATCATTATGTGTATATCATTATTATGACTACCACAATTTATTGTCAGTATTAACGATTGAAAATAAAGTAGAAAACTATTCTTTATCTATTACCAAGTTTTTTTATTTAAAGAGAGAATATTTAAGATTTCTCATAAATCGGTTTAGTTTAGTTATCCTCTTCAAATTCTTAGTTTATAATATATATGTGAAATAGATATAACATCAAAAAGCACATTATTATAAATCACTTTCAAGAATTTATAGTTTTTAATCCTTCAAAAATACGTATGCGAATAATTTATCTTTCGATAGATACATAATCGCAGATAAAAAAATGTATATACGTACATACTATATCTTTGTATCCCAAAACTCTACATTCATCCAGAAGATAATTACGAATCAAATAAAAAATCGTGCTATCTTTTCATCAAATTACGTTATATCGCCGTACTTGTTTGTGTGTAACTTTCCATCGCGTTGTACTCGTTCTGTATCTTCGCGAGTTCGCGGCGGATAAAAGGTATTATCATAATCGACCACAGCTTCTTTGACTTCATCACTGCTGTCCGATTGTTGTCGCCATACTGACGGTGATGATGATGACGAAGGCATTTCCTGTCGCTGCTGTGGCACTTGACGCTGCTGACTCGTTTGTTCACGAATCTTATCCCAAGCAGATGTTGTTTTTGTTGTGGTGGTTGTTTGATTTTTTGAATTTGCTTGTTCTGGTGTTGATGAAGATTGATTTTCAGGTATCGACCAAGAAGGAGGTGCATTTTGAGAGGATGGAGAATATGCTCGCTCGCTCTTACTTGACCAGTCGGGTTGATTGTTTGTATTGTCCACGCCATCATCTCTCATAACCTCGTCACTACTGCTACCTTTATACGAATACAGATCAACATGATCTTCTCCATCGTCAGAAAACGTAACAGTCTCACTAAAATCATCATTTCTATTTTTACTCTGCTCGTATGACTTATTGAAGGGATGAGGCGGCATCCCAGGCGCCGGTGACGGTCCCTGTGGCAACGCAGTACGTTTCTTTATCATTTCCATCTGCATATCCTTCATCAGTGCAAGGATCTTTTCACTAGACGGCAATTTCCGTATTGTATTCATGGCTGACAACGACCCCGTCACCAACCCAATTTGACCACCTATTATAGCACCACCCACCCCTACCGCTATTGTCGCCAGCGGCCGAAACCGTCTATGTTTACCTAAGAGAAATCCCACTACTCCCCCAGCGGCTGAAACAAAATACATGTGATTTGTGATTTTTGATTTTGCTTCTCTGATTGCATTTTTTTCGTCTGGTGTTAGATTGTAGGTTTTCATTATTTCTAGTGCTGCCTCGTAGAAGTCTTGAGATTTCGCCATTTTTTATGCGAAATTACTTCGATCTTTGTGATGTCATATCTGTGTTGTGCATCATTGGGGAGACGATAAAATTTGATTTTAGGGTTGCGTTAATTCGATTTTAAAGATCTTAATTCGTCGATCTCCAATTCTTATTCGAGAAACAAAGAAAATGAATAATCCAGGTTCTATGATGATAGGATGGTAACTATATTGGAAAAGAATTTTTTTTAATTAATTGATCCAATTCTAAAATAATTAAATCAATCAAATAAAGGATCGCTCTAATTGCAGGTATATAAAACATCGAAATTATTGCAATTAGCGATATCCAAATTTAACATATATCAAAACCTAATATATAGCTGGCGGCGGAGCATACTACCTAGCAAAAAAAGAAATCGATTCACGGAGACGTGCACAAGAACTCGCAAGAATTAGGCCCACCGAAAAATTAGAATGTATGTGGTGTTGTTTGGCGCTTTGTGTAATGTATATGCTATTGATCGCAAAATCCAACATCATTTATTGTAACAATGATCTTGACTAAAAAACAATTAGGGTGGCAAAAAGTTCAACAATATGATCAGGCGACAGCTAATCAAACATCATCATCTTCGTCGTCGAGTGGGTCTAATAATAGGAACACACCACCTTAATCATCAAGAATTGCCGACATAATTTTATTATAATTTAACAACTTAATTTGTGAAAATCTAGAATTAATTTTGGGGATAAATTATTAGTTTTTTTGCCATTCCGGAATCTGCAGTTGCCCTAAATTAAATATATTTTTTTAATATTTAATATGAAATGAAATTTTACCAGTGTAGATATACCTATTATTAGGCATCTTTTCCTATTACAAGCTGAAAATATCAAAAGTACTTAGTACTAATTAAATTCAATTCGGGGATCGACATTGTTAATCTAGATTCGAGTATATATACTATATATATTATATAATACTATCACGAATTAAATGAAACAAATTTAAATAATTTAAATACAAAAAGATAAATAACATGAAAGAAGGACCATCGAGAGGACTATGTAATAATGTACCTTTACTATATCAATAAAAACGATCATATGTTTTCATCCCAACATAAACAGGCGAAAATAAAATGAATAACTAACAAATGAATCAATAAATGAATGCATCAATCGATTAAATCAACAAGAACAACAATCACGAATTACTATTTTCAACACTTTCATCACCCATACTCTCCCCACCAAAATTATTTCCAGCCCAATTCTCCAAATACTGACTAACCCGCCGCGACGACGTCTGCCTCAACGGTGTCGGACGAGATGGTGAAGAAGCTTCAACATTGTCAAAAGAACCAGTTATCGGGCTGCCGACAATTGGTTCTCGGGAGGCGCTGGTACCATCATTAGAATCCTCGAGTATAGGACGAATTCTCGAGGCTACTTGTTTGGTCTTGCGTCGTTCCGGATGATGATAATATGTTTTATGAGGATTATTTGGATAATCTCGAGCCGCTTCATCAGCACGAACCTGACTATTTTTTCGTCGGAGATTACTACTACTCTCAAGATCTGCCGATGTTTCTTCTTCCCCTTCGGTAGAACTTGGTTTTTCGCCTTTCTTGTGCATACCCAAAAGCCCACGGAAAAATCCTGGGGTACTTTTGATATCGGATTCGTTTCTTTTTACAGGAAGCCACACCCACGGAAGTATCCCTACCAACGCGGGAGGTCCGTACCGCCTCATCCCAGTGTTCAATATTCCAGGGTATAACGTCATCGGGGGTTGTGTGTAATCTGTGTATAGATCAGACTCAGCTTGGTACAAGTCATCGTCTAAAATTTCTCGATGTTTATGTGCAGAGAAAGACGCAGACGATGATTGGACGACTGTTTCGTCGTTATTTATGTTTTGGGATTCTGTGTGTGGCGGTTCAATTGTTGATTGATTCGGTGGAGCTGTAGTAGTTGTATTAAGATCTTCTTCCGTATTTTCAGCACTTGTCTGCAGCTTTTTCTGCTTCTCACGAATCATCTTTAGTGGAAGAAACTCGCAGCTCTTTTTAAATGCCAAACTCACATACGTTGCAAACACCCCAGTCATCATCAATAAAGGAATTATAGAGCCTGCTAACCAAAAATCTTGTTGGAGTGCCAAAAACCCTGTCATCATTAATTGAAAAATCACAAGCCCAACAATCACTCGACGAAATATCAAAGGCCACGCTTGACCAGCAGACTCGTATGGATGAAAATAGACTAATAATAATTGATTTATGAGAACATCATCGTTAACAATAAGAAAGTCAATCCCCAAGATCACTAATTTTTTCGCGAATACGATTCAAGTTCAAACTAAACTTACCATAAAGCAACAAATACTTGAACGTAAAATACCCGAAGAAGAAATACACGGCGCCAAAAAACAAAATTACCGGACTAATCGCCGAATATACCAAAATAATCACCCAGATCAAAACCGCGCGCGGATACGCAATTCCGTAGTTCAGGAATGGGGGTGTACTCGCCTCAGCATATTCTCGTGGGGTTTTGGCAATGAACAGGCGTTTCGTTAATGTGCTTACAACGTCGCCGAATTGCAATAGTTGTAGGGGATAGAGACCAATGCCTTCGAGGATTACAAAGTTTACAAAAAATGGTGAGACCTAATTTGTTTTTTGGTTGTATTATATTTTTATGATTTTGGTTCATTTTTTCGGTAAAAGGAGTAATATTTAATATAGCAATAATAATATACTAATGGCAATGAAAGAATGCAATGGTAGTTATGATATATACAGTTGGTAATGTCGTCGCAAGAACCTTTGCTATTTTTGTTGGATCAGTGAGGATATCTTCAATCGATTTATATATTGTGCCCACGATAGTGAAGATGAGAAGAACGTTTACCAATAAGAAAAAGAAAAATCTATATATAATAATAAATAATAAAAATTAATAATTCCAAAAAACCAAGATGCACTACATAAAAGAATTAAAAATAATCGCGCACATACTTCGATAGTGTAGATAACTCGATATAGCTTCGGGCTTGAAGGCCTTGTCTTTTTGCGAGAACTTTAATTAAACAAAGTCAAAACAAATCATTGTTAATATATTTCTAATGATAACAATGTAATCATCGAAAACTATGAAGTAAAAATAAAACTCACAATCAAGAATTATCGGCAACAAAGCATTAAACACCGAAACGGCCAAAGTCGGCAACGACCCTTGAATCAAACCCTTTAAAATTTCGTTTTTATCCGCCAAATCTGCCAGCCAGGGAAACACTTTTTTCAGGGTGTCAAGACTGAGGAGTGATGCAAAAACTGAGATCGGACCGGACCAGAAAAACACAAGAAATATCAGTATGATGTTAACGATGACATTGCGGACTACTAGTTCTCGTTCGCGGAAGTTGATGTTCTCCCAGTATCTTGATTTTTGACATATAGTTAATTTTTTTGTCATGCAAGTAATAAATTAATATAAAAATCAATATATTTTCAGCAAACCTACACGTCGCGTGGTTCAGGTGCAAGAGTTGTGTTACAATGGGATGGCTCAGGATGAATAAGTGTCTGAGCTGCAAGTTGCTATATAAATTTTTCACAACGAATTAATAATGCTTGATCAGAAAAAGAAAATCAGCAAAATCGACCATTTGCAAAAATGACTCACTGCACTCGAAAAATCCTCAAAGGTGACAAATCCAACAGAGGTAGGCAGATACCTTCCATGCCTACCTTGTTCAACTAAATTGTCATAATACTGAAGCTTTCTGGTATAATACTCAATCTTATCAACCTTCTTGCCAAAAATATGAAAAAGTCCATCACGAAAAGTCGGACGAGGATTTTGAATTTTCGACAGCACATCTCCCGACTCTAACAACCTCCCGTCCTCTCTATCACTAGGCACACTCGGCAACGCACCCTCAATCTCTTCCAACATCTTATCTTCGTCGTAATTCGGATCTGTGCACGGGTTCCCTAACCAGTCAACATACGCTTTTTCCAATTTCTCCAAATAATGTGTTCTTCTCTCGATTGCGTGCTTCAATTTCCGTACATGACGACAAACAACAGCACTCTCAACACTTCCGACTCCTAAAGACTCGTAGAATTCTGCGAGTTCACGATCCGATTGCAGTTCCTTAGGAAGAACAGTGACCATCACAGTTCTCGCCACTAGTGTATCTTTAAATTTCAGATAGTATTGCCGATGAACATCGATGAATGCTCGGTAATTGTAATACAGAAAATAGAACGACGCCAGCGAAAACGTCCATGTGAAGAGTGCGTATGAAATTATTTGCAAAGGGTTCTGTTCATCGGGGATGCTTATGGGTTCGTCGTCAAAAAAGTTTTTCCCGTTTTTTCGTCGTCTGGTGTAGTCGTATATTTTTATAGGACTTGTTATTAGTAGTGCGAATACGCAGCAGAAAGTAAAAAGCTTGTAGGACATTTTAAAGAATCCAAGAAGCTTTTGAAATGAATAAAACATTTTTTTAATTCAAATCAGTGATAAACGATAGCTTTTTTCAATGAATTGATTTATCGATCCAAATTAGATTTTAAAAAATAGTACCACTGCAGCGTCCAATCCTACGCGATCCAAAACCTCTGATTCTGGAATTCGAAGTAACGGTAATACCCAGCCGAAAAATGTGTCTGGGATTAAATCTGGGGCTAGGCTGTCAATATTTCTTTGATTTTAATATAATTCATTTTACCAAAAATACAACTTTTAATGAATTACGAAATAAGTACCCTTTGAGTCTGGTTCGAGGAGCAAACAACGCACTCCATCGCGGTCTCAAAAAACAAAATAGAAGAAAGGAAAGAAGTCCAATCGAGGTAGCGACTGCAAGTTGAGTTGTCAGGAGAACAGTCTTTTCTATGTATTTGTTTTCAAATTAATATTATGTATCTTTACTTTTGTGGTTTTTTAAGAATCTAATAAAATATTCTTACTCGCGTCGCTTCTGGTGTCGCCAGGAACTTCGGGAATTGAATCATTAACGCCATAAAAATCGGAAAGAACGAAACCAGTGCCGTCTGTCATTCTTTGTGGTTCTCGAAAAATCTATCGCACGCGATATCATCTACTTGATAGATAATCTTTATTTATAACCCTCACGTGAGACATTTTTGATGTAATTGCTGATTTGGATTAGTAGAATATCAACACAAATATGAAAAGGTCTATGACAGGATTCGATTATCGAGAAAAAGGTTAATTATTATTCTTTTTGGACATCTGTTACTTTTTTCGGTGAATTTACACACTATTTTCTATTAATCATATATGGAAATTGGACATTATAAAAGTAAAGAAAATTAAGAAAAACAAAATAGTCAAAAAATCAAAAATCAAAAACGATTATTTTAAAAAGATTAAAAAGAATGAAAAACTAGAGACACCAGAATTTTATAAAGAGGTGAATATCATCGGCATACTTAAGAGAATTCGAATTGTATCAAGATCAGCATTTAATTTGGGTTATTTTGTTATTTTGATTTAGATATTCGGACAACAATCATCATCGATTGATGATAATAATAACGATCAAGAAATACATGATAATAAGAGAATACAACAACACAAAGAGGAGGATGATGATGATGATGATAGTAACAATCTATCCTCAACATACGAGAGTGTTGACGACGATGACAGTGTCGATAAAAAAGAAACCAACCCTAATCTCATAAAAGACAAAAACTCAGAAGGAACAAAGGTATCATTTCTTGACTAGTTTTTTTATACGTCACATGACGCTAATACGAATAATGCTTTTTTTTTCAAAAATGAATACAGAAGAAAGTCAACACAAGAATGTAAGTACGCATCAAACACTTTTTATATTTACAAGCTTTTCGTAATTTCCATCCATCCATCAACCAATAAATCATCATCAAACAAACAGAAAAAAAAGCAACCCATCAAAACCCAATCCCCTCGAAAAGCGATACAAGGAAACCGAGCGACTACGACTAGAAAAACAAGCCAGAATAGAGGTAAGAGTTATTACTATTAACATCAAATCATGTGAATAATTTTATATTCATGTTCGCAATAATATACAAACCTTCTTGACATAAGAATGTAATCACAATACTGATGACCAACAATAAATCGTGTTGATATTGACATCTTTTTTGTAATATAATATATTTCATACGCAAAAAAAAACAGGCATCTAAAAAAGAACGCGAAGAACAAACCAAAAGTCGCGCTGATTACTATACAAATCGCAAACAAACCAAAAAGAATTTGTTCAAACGTACGGCAAAAGGGCAACCTGTGATGAAAAGCCATATTGAACATCTCCTATCAAAAATAAAGTCATCGGTTAATAATAATTAATATCATATAATAGCGTTTAAAGAATTTCTTACAATATTACAATAATTATTCTATTTTCTGTTTTTTCAGCGATTTCTTTGACTTGTTGACGTCGTTGATTTCTTCGTTACTTGTTCTCTTTGATGATGATTTGCCTGTTTTTGCCCATTCGAAAAAGTTACAACGGTCTTCTGGTGAAGTACCCACTGGTCTATATATATATATTATTTACATTATCAAGTTATTATTACTAGTAAAATTTCGAATTAATAATAAATACCTTGAACACATGTAAAACTTTCGTCCATGATTTGGTCCAGACTTATTCACTCGATATTCTTTACACTTTTCTCCATGAACAATGCATTTCGGTATAGGAGGCGGAGTGAATAGCGCCATCCATTGAGACTGCACTTGTGAATTTTGTGTTAATGTTCTTGATGATTCTTCTCTTTCAGTATTCGTCGCCGTTGTGTCTTGTTTTTCAGATGTCACAGCATCGATAACTGTTGCTTCGTAGAGTTCTGAGGGATTTTGAATTTCTGTATTTGGATCTGTGCCGATTTTTTGATCTGTCTCAACATACGGAAGAACAGAATCTTCTGAAGACGACGAAGCACTCTTGAAAAAGGAAGCTAGGGTACGTTGTCCATTATCTTGTTGTTTTTTGGATTTTGTCATGTTGCTGCTATTACTAAACTTTGATTTTTTTGATGGTCCACTTTTATTAACGACGAACTTACGTGGTGATGATAATGGTGATGACGAAATCGCCTTTTCACGTCCTGCAGAATCCAAACTAATATTCAAGTCTTTAGGATTCTCCAATTTGTTATTCAAGTCAGTTGTTCTCTGAAAATAATTCTGAAGCGTAAGCTGATTTCCCGAGAACTGAGGCAAAAACCTTGCACAAAGATCAGGTGTTTCAGTTCTCTTATTAGTTGCCAGTCTTTCCATTTCGCCCAGTAGTTTAATTGTCAGTTCACCAACTTTAATCTCTTCAAATAATTCAACTATCACCGGACAATGATCGGATCCCATTATGTGTGGTTGAATGTCACATAGTTTGATCCAGGATAGTAGTCCCTCGCTTGATAGTACGTAATCAAGGCGGGTTCCTGTTCAGATATTTTAAATATTTACACAGAGAATAATTATAGATTTAAATGCAAAAGAAATAAAACATACATACCATAATTTACAGGCCTTTAAATAAGCGTATGAATTAGTGTGTCATTAATTATGATGCTGATTACGGAATATGAATGAATCAATCGGAATATTCTCACCTCGCATCAATTACAGTATTCCAACCTAAAATAAAATTTTGTTATAAAAAAATCAAACTTCTTTGAATTTTATAATCTGCAAATTGAAGCTAACTTACACGTATACATTTTTTCTTCATTCGGATGAAACTAAAAAAAAAACATTTGCATTATAAGGAAATCAAATATCACAAATATAAAAAATATTTGATAGGACATACATATCTGCACACATCAACCATTGGCCCTTTTGGCATCAAAAAACCATCAAACCACTTTCGCGCCGGATGATCAGTAAACGATTTCAACCCATGCTCTTTCACAGATCTTTGCGGGTCACAATGATCAATCTCCATGTGGGTAACATTAATATCACCAACCACAATAACATTCTTTCCAGCTTTAATTAGTGCCTCGACGCGCAATTGCAACACTTCATAGAAATCCAGTATGAAAGGTAATCGTTTAGTGTTAGACTCATGCGGACAATACACATTAAGCAGCACAAACAATCCGAAATCGAGGATGACGCATCTTCCTTCTGCGTCAAGATCCAACAAATCATTGTTAGAAAATTCTGTTAGAAAGTGACCTCCTATTATCTCTTGCCGTTGTTGTTCTTCATTGTTTCGCGTCGTTTGTCGATTCTGACAAAGAACTCCAGAAATTCCTTCTCCAGCTGCAAATGGTCCTACTACACTACCCGTTTTGACATAGGTGGCAACCCCAGAATATCCTGTTTTGTTTTGTGTCATTGAGAAATATGCATCGTAGTCGTCTATTAAAGCAACTGACGAGTCTAGTTTATCTGGTGTGAGTTTTGTTTCTTGAAGACAGATTACATCCGCATTTAGTGCATCAAAAATGACCTACGAATTCTTGTCAGTTTTGGATTGAAAAATACATTTTTGATTGTACAGAACAAAACCTTGTAGTTTTTATGTTCGCACCAGCTATTATTATTGTTGAAAGAAAAAGTATAGATGTAAGCTATGAGGTACCATGTTTTAAAGAATAAATAATATTTCAGCTGTCCTGCTGCGCGTATATTTGTACGCAGCAAAGGTACTTACGGAGAATATTTAACCAATGATCGTAATCCATTGACATTCCAAGTGAGAATCCGCATGTCAAGTATTTTCAATAAAAAACGCGCGTTATTAAAAATGATATTGTTGTTTATTGAACATTCACGTGCTACCACTTATAAAGCTATTTGCGTTATTGACAATCCATCAATTCAGAATGGTTAGTATACAAATTTTTGAAAAGTTAACATGTATCTTTTGTAATTCTTAATTTTGCTCACTCGTGCTTTATTTCATTATATACAAAAATAGAAGGTAAAAGTTCTCTCACGCTCCACTGAAGAATACACACGCGATCGGTCCACAGATCTTCACAAAATAAAAAGGAACTTCAATCCTGCCTTACACCCGTTCGAGAAAGCGCGAGAATACACCCGTGCACTGAATGCTGTGAAGCTTGAGCGGCTTTTTGCGAAACCTTTTATCGGGGCGTTGAGTGGACACGCAGACGGTGTTTATTGCTTGGCAAAGCACCCACAAAAGTTGTCGACTGTTCTGTCAGGGAGTGGTGACGGAGGTGTGCTTTTGGGATTACATTCACCTCATTATTTTCCTTGCTAAGAAACGATAATATTTAAATGAAAAATTTTAAACAAATGTAGAAATTCGATTATGGGACTTAGCAGCACGAGAAACTCGCTGGAAAATTAATGCACATAAAGGCATCGTGAAAGGCGTGTGCTGTAGTTCTAAAGGTGACAGTTATCTATCATGCGGAATAGATAAAACAGTGAAATTATGGAATCCTAGTGAATCATATGATGAGCCTGTAAACACGTATCTTGGAAAATACGCGTTCAATGCTATTGATCATCACCGATCTGAACCAATATTTGCTACTTCTGGATCACAGATTGATATTTGGCATGAAGAAAGGTTCGAGAAACTGGTTGGCCAACTCTCATCGATTCTTGGTATTGTCAATAGAAATTCAATTTTTGTTTGCAAACAACATAAACAACACAAAAAACACACTATTTAGGTCGGACCCTATAAAAACCATAAAATGGGGCGAAGACACAATCAATACCGTGAAATTTAACCAGACAGAGGTCAACGTGCTTGCTAGTTGCGGGACTGATAGATCAATTATTATGTATGATCTGAGAACTAATTCATCGTTGACTAAATTAGTTTTGCAGGTTGGTTTTTTGTATATATGAGTAGAGGTATTCATATATGGGTAAAGCATTTTAATATTTTTTAAATGAATGGATTAGTTAAAAACTAATGCTATCGCGTGGAATCCTATGGAGGCTTTTAATTTCGCGGTTGTAAGTTGAATTCTGTGACTTTTGATTATAGAGGAGTTTTTTTAAGATGGGATTATAATTCTTTATTGGTTAATTCATATCTAGGCGAATGAAGACCAAAATTGCTACATATACGATATGCGAAAAATGGATATCGCAATGAACGTGTTAAAAGATCATGTTGGGGCATTGTACGCAATCTTATAATTACCTAAAAAATTTATTTGGAATATTTTCAATAACATTCATATATACAAAAGACTAGACGTTGATTTCTCACCAACCGGTGAAGAACTAGTCACCGGCTCATACGATCGCACAATTCGAATTTTCAGAGCGCGCGAGGGACGCAGTCGCGACGTATATCACACCAAACGGATGCAGCGTATATTCTGTGTAAAGTATAGTATGGATGCGAAGTTCTTGCTTTCTGGTTCGGATGATGGGAATGTACGGCTTTGGAAAGTTGGCGCATCGGAGAAGTTGGGCGCGGTAAAGTGCTGGGAGTTTATGTTTTGGTTTTTATTATTTGTGGGATTGGTAGGCTAAAAAGTTATTGTTGCGTTTTATGCAGAAGGATTATCGCGAACGCGCGTTTTTAGAGTATTCTGGAAAACTTAAAGATCGGTTTAAAAACCTGCCGGAGATTAGGCGAATTTCAAGGTCAGTGATAATCAAATTAATTAAATACTTATATATAAATAATGCATGACCAATTATTAATCTTTTCTATTGTTTCTCTTTACCTCTCTCTTACGAATCAAAGACATCGCAACATCCCTATGGAAATCAAGAACGCACAGAAAAAGAAACAAATCATGCTCGACGCACAGAAAAGAAAAGAGGAAAATGTACGGAAGCATTCAAAGAAGGGTGCTATACCGCATGTTCCTGAGCGCAAGAAAAATATTGTTGGGATTGCTAAATAAATTTGGAGTAAGGGAAGGAAACAGTTTTTCATTCGGATGATTCATAAGCTATATATTTTACACAACGCAATTATTAAAGTCAATTACTCTATATACGAAACAAATGAAAATGCATTGTTCTCTTAGATAAACATTTCAAGTACGCATATATAGTGCGATCACCTAAAAATCAAATGATAACTATAAAATCTACTCACAATTATTAGATTATTTATTCGCACTTTACGCGCCGCCTTTCTTTTATTCTTTTGGCTGTTTATTGGAGAATCTCAAAAGTTATTCCCAATGTCACAAGCTTCTACTAATCCTCCAGAACCTGCTTTTACTTCTACTTCTAATACTACTACTATTAGTGATAATTCTAATAATACTTCTGATACTAGTACGACTACTAATACTTCAACTACTAGCACTACTACAACTACACAATCCTCAAGCAGCTCAAAAAAACAATTATACGAACAAATCTCACAATACCGTAACTGGCGGTTCTCCAAAAAAAAATTAAAAGATCTCCGAGAGCAAGCCAACAAATCCGGTGTCGAAAGAGTAAAAAAGAACATTTCAGAAGAGCTAAAACTTGCTGAAACTGCACCACCGAAGTCACAAAACGGCAGTCCTACACAACACTATCAGAACTCACCGCTTCCCCAATCGCACCAAAACTCGCCGCTGCCCGCATCTCTGCAAAATTCACCGCGTCCCTCTTATACGAACTCGCCTCGTCACGGCGGAGTATCGCCAGAGGACATTCAGTTTCTGACGGCTGACGAAGAGATGGTGATTTGTCAGTACTACGAAATGATTATTCAGCAGATTCCAGCGACCGAATTCAGTGAGCAGATGAGGGCTACGGCGATTGTGTTTATGAAGAGGTTTTATTTGCGGAATACTGTGATGGATTATCATCCAAAGATGATTATGCTGGCATCTCTGTTTCTCGCGGCAAAATGCGAAAATAGCACGATTGGCCATGAAGAATTTCGCACATTGATGGAGAAGACATCGCGTGTGAATCTTGCAAAGGAGACACTGTTTCAACTTGAGTTGGCATTATCACAGAGCATGAACTATGAATATGCTGTGCATCATCCACACAAGAGTACCTACGGTTTGTATTTAGATATGCAAAGCTATTCAAAAGATATCAAAAAAATGCAAAAAGTCTACGAGAAATCTAAAGACCACATAAAGCAGTCGCTTTTGACCGACTTGACGTTTCTCTATCAACCATCACAGATAGCAATGGGATGTATGCGTCTAGCATCTCGATCACCCAAAATCGGGTTCGATTTTGATGCGTATATTCGCGAAAAATTTAGTGGCGTACAATCAAAACACTCAAAAAACGTGTCTGAACAACAACTAAAGAGTTTGTTTGAGATACTTGATGATATCGAGAAGGCTATTGAGAGCTATACACCAGTCGATAGGAAAAAGGCCCAAGAATATGATCTTAAGCTTCGTTCTTGTAAGAATCCGGCCAAAAATCCTGCAAGCTATATTTCACAGAAGCGTAAAGCTATAGAAAAAGAGGAGCGTGAAGCTAAAAGGCTAAAGAAGCAGGCTGCTAATAAAGCTTACCAGGAGGAATTGGAGTTAGTGTTTCTTAGTCAGGATAGTTCTTTTAAAGCAGAACATTGACAAAACAAAACATTTTCTTTCTCTCTTATTTACACATCCTTGATTCATACTTAATAAGTAAAAATCAACGAATATTCAGCATTGTATTTTGCTAGAACTTTATAATATTAAACAATGTTTCTCTTTAATTATGCAAAGCAAATTTTCATTAATTTGTAAGACGAAACAATTCTATTGGCTAATGGTGATGATTCGAATTAGACGATCTGAGGGGAATAAATGTGCATTAGCATAATCTGCGTGTCAATTTTCTGGGAAACGTTGGGAAGCCGACATAGTAATGAACAATTGAGGCTTTTTGATCATGCATGGTAAATAAAAGTTTCTGATGATGATATTGAAAAGGTCACAGTTAATACATTATATTCTCTGAGTTTAATTTTACTAAAGAATTATATTATTTGTTTCTAAAAAGTATACATTAATTTACACTCAATGATTCTTCTATTTGGTTGGGACATACTGATACTCTACTAACGACATGTTCTTTTCGAGATTTGGCGTTATTGTGTTATTATTGTTATTATGATTATGACTTGAATCGTTAATAATACCATCCAAACCCAAAGGTATTATTTCTCCCTTTGCAATATGATCAACCACGATACGCATAAACCCTCGGTACATTTCTACACGCGCGTTATGTATTGCGAGTGTTGATGATGGGGAAAGTGATGATTGAAGAAGGTGTATTTGGTGATCTAGAAAACGGGAGGTAATTACTCAATCAAGAGGATTTTTGGATGGATGAATGTTTTTAATTACTTGCCTCCTACAGCCTTCACTATTATACATCCGCTCGAATCAGCAACAAGAAATTCCGCAATTTTCAAATTTTTCCGAGCTTTTTTTATTGTATTTATTTGATTCAACATATTATTGTTATCATACATCATACATCATACAAACCCCAATGAAACAGATACATACAAAAAGAGCTACTATCATTGTCAGCGCCTTCGTCATCTATTACACCCAACATAATCTGCTGCACTACTTTTACGCGTAAGTTGACTTGATGTTGTGCAGGGAGTACTTCGGTGACTTTAATATCTATTGTCCCAGTAAATGCAAGTGTTGTTAATATTATTCTCGAAAGTAAAATAGACAGATAGTAGGAATTGTTGGTGTTTGGGTATTATTCTTACAATTTTTTGAAGACATATTTTACCTAATTCGTCACCTTGAACGAACGACCAAAATTGACTTGTCATATGACAAGTTGTCATTCATTTTTAAAATGACACTGCATGTTCTGATACGATTCAATGCATCGACTATTTTAACAGCAGATATTTCTAATTTAAATCTTTATACATATACTGTATGAGGTGATATTTGTCTTTTTTAATCAAAAGTATTTTTTGATAAATATAAAATAAAGCAGTTGCAGAATTATAAGCCGAATTTGCACGACCGAATAAAAAATCCTTACAATCAAAATTTCATACCGATACGATTGTAATGAGTATTTTATAACAATAAACTCTAATTTGCTTAATGATTTTAATACAACTTCCCATTTACCTCGTCTGTATTTATTTTCCCTATGATCCCACATGTAATAATCGTGCAATCGTGCTTTATTGTTATAAATTGTTCTTTTGCGAGATATTCAACATTGGTAAATTTTTCCATCCGAAATACATTGGCAGTCGATATCATAGCTTTATTTTCGCTAAGTCATTCATGTAGTATATATAATTTTTTGTCTGGTACATACAATTACAGTTGACAGTTCTGACAAATACCAGAATACTGGCACATACAACGAAATTCTATAATGTATAATTTTGTGATTCCCAGATCCGATCCCTAGAAAGAATTCTAATAACATACAATCTGATTAGTTAATTCTTCTAATTTTTCAGGCCCAACTAAAATTGTGCATTGCAAAATTTTCTGAAGATTTGACTTTGCGTCTATCCTTTATTCTCTTTGAAAACGAATTTTTCGCAAATCTTTCTCAAGCTATCGCAAGGTAGAATTGGTGTCTTGAAACCTCGCATAACTCGTCTAATGTTCCTGCGCATAAAGGATGATTATATCGCGCCTCTTAAGATCGTCATTGGGTGCATTCTAGCCAATTAAATTGCATAGATTTGTGGATCTATAATGAATTCTAAATTGAAAGATTATACACTAAAACCTCGTTATAGTGAGGACATCGGGGTAAGGGAAAAAATCTTCACTATATCTTATATTGAGTTTGAATTTTATTGATGATTCTAAAAAATTCTCCACTATATTGAGAGTGAGTTGTATTTCAACAATTTGAAATTTTTTTATCTAGGTCACCGCATCCACTTTCTGTAAATGAAGAGTAGTAGAAATTTTTATAGGTACAGTTAAAGCTTGATATAACGATATGATCGGGACAATTAGTAAAATATCGATATATGGGCTATGTGCAATAGAAACGGTGTAAATTATATTATAAATTCTAATATAATTTACACCGTTTCTATTGCACTCAGCCCATATAGAGAATTTATTATCGTTATATCGAGATTTAATTAGTCATCGTAATCGCTTTGACCGTATAATGCGGCGCAGCTGATCATTATTGAATATAGTCAAACCTCGATATAACGAAACCTAGATAGATATAACGAAAGAAAAAAAGATCTTTTGTTCTAAATTACCTCTATATAGCGAAGTTTCATACTCGATATAACGAAAAAAATTTCCAGCTCAAGAGGTTCGTTATATCGAGGTTTGACTGTATAGCGCCGACATAGAATTGATTATATAAATAATGGTTTAAGGTTATAACACACGTTGTTTCATGTGCATTTTTTCAATCGATCATAAGTAGAGAATTTTTAAACGCACAAAACGGAATCTATAAGTAAATACTTTTAAAGTGAAATAATAATGTTGCTAAGGGAAACGATTTTGAAAATGAAATTTTAAAGGTTTAAAAAGTGTGGATATCGAGTGTCACAGAGTTGTTATGTATCTGAAGTTACGTTGCCACTAAGATTGGTAAATAGAGAACTGGAAGCTCTTTTCGTGGCCACAGTTTGCGAAAGTTTCCAGTTAACTAGCGTACGGGGGACAGCCTGCTGTGTATTTATCATCCGAAAAGCTACTGTATAAGCTTTACTTATCGACGCTATGTCTAGCGTTGGGGCTTGTAGTGAATAGGATACATTATTGATGTTGCTGCCATGGTTTCACTCTGGGACATTCGTCTTGACGATGACGCAAATACTCATTAATAAGTTTATCGATCTGGTGACGATAGCGTGGAAATTGTTTGAAGTTTCACAAAAATTCCAATTGTGATCCAATGTAAGAATTATTCGACTATCCAGATCGGTCCTAAAGAGATCCGTGATTAATTAGAAGGAGTGCTTTCAAGATATCACGAAGATTCAATCGGAAGTTTTGTGATTCCGTCCAAAGATAATTTTACTATGATGACAAGAAGACTTCTTATCGTCTTAGTAAAATTGTCTTTGGACGGAATCACAAAACTTTCGATTGAATCTTCGTGATATCTTGAAAGCACTCCTTCTAATCCATGTTAATGTTGCATCTTTCTCCAACCGCCTAGTCCGGAACCGGCGAAACTATTTTCGCCTAATTAACTAAAAATCCGAATACTCCGATGAATTCCGAAACTGCCGAAATTAAGATCGCGTGGCGAAATCCGAAAACCATTCCGAACCATTTTACAAATTTAATAATACGACCAGAAGAGTACTGTGAACCATCGGAAGCACAAATAGGCTAAATACCCAGACACTGCCATGACAGTTGGCTTTATTATATGTTAGATATATATTAGATCCCGTCCAACCTCTATTTACCTCCTCGGAATTCTCTTCCGGAGTAAATTCCTCATTATTTCTGGTACATCAATATTCAACAGATGCTCCAATTGAAGTTCGTCATAAAGAAAATAACATATTTTATTTATTGCGATTGTGGCTAATCAGATAATCGGATTGGTTCGGAATTATTTCATCATTTCGGCACGCTTTCGGAAAACCGGAAATAATGAAAATCAAAAGTACAAGATAAAATCCGGCGTATAATTATAATATTTTTTTTTAGTAATTGTAAATATTGTTAATATTTTTAGCTGAAATCGAATTTATTAAAGATAGTTAGACCGCAGTGCTTTTTATAATCGAGATGAAGGTGATGGTGAAGATTATGATGAAAACACCTCTCTCGATGTCTTAATAAAGTGTTGATCAAAAAAATAATAACAATAAAGTTTCACTCATACTTGAGCTTTTGATTTAATCATATACAGTATGTAACGGTAGCAAAAGTCTGCACTAAATTATTTGTTCGCCGATCCGCAACGGTTGCATGTTTAATAGAGTATATTATATCATTGAAAAGCTTAAATTCACGAGTTCTGATTAATAGGAATACGTTCGCCTTTATTTTGAATATTCAGATTTATTAAATTAACTACAACATCCCGCGGAATACCTTCTCACTCCACCATAAAACGCTTCAATTCTAAAGGATTTTTCGGCATCCGTTCTTCTACGTTCATCATAACTATACTTCATAGATTTGCGATAGGATTTAGGTCGGGATTGTTGACGACCAATCGATTACTTTGGGAAAGTTCTCTTGAAGGAATTTTTTGGCTATACGATTGGTGTGCTTTGAATCGGCTCCGAAAGAGCTGAAACAGCTCGATATATACTCGTAAAAGCAGAGACAGAGTCGGGTTTTATGGCTCTTATTTAAGGCAAACCGAATCATTACGAGCCAGAGTATTTGCATAATAATGAATAATTCTTCAAATTCTAAGTCAAGAGTGTAGTTTAGTAGAATTCTAATCAATCTTATGATTTGATTAGAATTTTATTAATTTATAATAAAAATCCAACGAATTATAATTTTTATTAGAATAAAAATTCACAACTATTATTTTTTATTTGATATCTTTGAACTCTCGAGCTTTCAATACGAGTCCGAGTTAAAATATGACTCGACTCTTCTTAACTCAACTCGGCTCGAGTCAAGCTAGAGCACATCTCAATCTCTGGAACATGTTTTTTTTTGAGAATTTCGACGTAAAAATGTCCATCCATAATTTGCTGGAAGCAAAAAAGGCTTGACTTGCCGTGTGCACAGAATTCGCTCCAGGCAAAGATCTTTGATTGGTCCTATGGAATAGGACAGATTAGTCGTGAGCCCTTGTGCCAACGTTGTATGGTGTTCCTAAACAGTTGAAAAGCTGTCTAATCAGAAATATCATTTGCTCACAGTTGTTATTAAGGTGATATTGTGCCCATTCTGCACGCTTTTTCTTGTGTATTGGTGTTGTGATTAGCAGAGTTTTTATAACCTATATTTTTTACATGCCTCAAAACTGTCATATTAGAGATAAATTTGATAACTAATGTTCATGTTGATATTGTATTGCCCGATAGCCTTAGAAGCTTCTGGTGTAATTTTCTTGGTGTGGCCACTGCGCTGTTGATGCAAAACACTTACAGTTTTTTTTAGCTTAAAAATGTTGTAATGAATAATTCTCTTCGGAATGTTGGTTATCAGTATATTTCGTTTACATCATGTATTTCCTCGTCAAGTAATTACTTTCCGACAAAATGGACACCATTCTTTACACTATTAAGAGAGGGAATCAATTCATGACCTTAGGCAAAAAAGTGCCGATCACGTGATGTTGGTCAGAGCCAACCAATAAGAATGCGCAAAAATTATGCGCAACCAATAGGAATGTAGTAAATTTTTGATCAATTCAGCAAAACGAATCCTACACAAGAAAATAAGAAAAGAAAAAAAATGCGAAAAATACAAAAAACAGATATCTAAATCTAGCTTGGCACTATCAAAAAATGTCGAGAAGACAATTTTATATATAATCTTGATCTCAGCTCTAATCCTAACCCTAATACTTGATATCTAATATTGATCGGATATTTTAATGGACTTATTTCAGATCACGTGACCGGTACTTTTTTGCCGTTGCTAGGATATTAAACTTTGTATGTACATCTTCATATCCATTTCTATATGTGCTATTTTTTTTAGCAATTTCAAGATTAAGTTTATAATTTTTTTTGCACACTGAACATCAATATTTACCATTTTTTATTCTATCAAGTGATGCAGTCTATTTTAGCACAATGCTATAAATAAAGCTCAAGAATTATTGATAAATAATTCAGAGACATTTTCCATTCCTACTATAAGCAATTTGTCTAGCATTCTCCATTTTTATACCTCTAAAACAAGTGATTCTTAGTGCATTTCCATTGCAATGGAATATTACTGTTAACATAGTTTTCAGAAAGACACAAATCACCCTTTTTAACTGTAATTTGTCTGGAATTGTCGAGAGTAAGAAATGCATTACCTGCACAATATGAACATCAAGATTTTGCATTTTTTATGTGAGTAAATTTGGCATCCCATTCATGATCTTTAGTACATTTCCATCGCAATGGTATTATATTATATATCTAAAAGACACAAACCACTTCTTTCTGTGACAATTGTTCAAGTATTATTTATAGATAATTTTCTCATTTCAAATCGCAATAATTTTGATTTTTCTCTTTAATTTGAAATTATGATATCTTTATCTTGCATCATTATTATTTGTAAGAAAGTCTTGGAATGGTTATATTGCTCTAAAAGTATGATGATGACTAAAGATGGCGCAGAAACTGTTGCAACATGGTGACAATAAGCATCATCTAGTTGTAACTAGTTGCAGCTTATAAAATTTTGGAGTTATAACGTGTTGCAACAGATAACAAGTAAGCGTCATGTACTTGCTGCGCCATCTCTAATGACAACTGAGATTTTTTAACAAGCTGGCTTCGTTTCGAGTTCATTTCAATTGTATGGGCTATGCTGTTTTCTATATCTATATTACTGTCGCCAAAAGTACAGATCGAATATTATTAGAAGATATTAAAATTGTAAGGAAGTATTATTGCAACTTCATGAATACTGTAGAAATTTAATTATACTGATTTAGCATGTTGGGAGCTAGTTATTGATAAGATTCGGGAACTGCTTCCTGAGAAAATCTCAAATTATACTCTTTGCAAAAGAACAAAATCTGTGGTCTCTTTAGTGATCTCGGATAAGAATAGGGATAGGACAGATTAATTTCAAAGTTGAGTTGGGTTGAGACTTGTAAAAATTGTTAGAATTTTGAAACTGCCTTCTTAAATGTATCAATTTTACTGCACCTGTGAACTCGGTTCACACCTTAAAGTTTTATCTTTACCATGTTGTCTTTTATACAAGTGCAACTTGATATAAGAGAGCAATTTGTTCCAACTATATTGTCTCTTATATGAAGTGATTCTTATTATGAAATGAATTGGGATTTTGAAATAATTTCTAATATTTCTTATATCATGTTGATACCATTACAGTCACCAAAAAAGGTAATACTAGCTCTAGCACTACGTAGTATTAATAAATACTGTTATCAGGAAAGTTTATATAGTTTATGTAGGATTTTTACATAATTTTTACTATGGCAACAATAATTTATGCAACTCTGTAACTTTATTCATAATTTTCATATGACTATAATTGTCCCATTACAAATAGTTAACATTTGACATTACACATGTTAATTTGGTATTACGTAATTTGACATTTACGATATACATGTACATGTACCTCTTTTATGAAATTCGACATTAAATTGAACTCATACAAGATTCTTTGCCTGATAATGCTAGAAATTTGATATTGATTTGATACTTAAAAAGAACCTAAATCATGTAATTAGCGTAATCATCAATTTTATATAAAAAGAAGTTCTTTTTATTAGAAAAGAATTAGCAAGAATGCCAAAAAAAAATGTTTTTGATCAAATAAAATCACAAAGTTCTTATTTGTAGTAATAATATTACTCGTGAATACACTATTATTTTATTATTTTAATTATCATCAATCTTGCGAGTAAGGTAGCAAGTAGTGGATGCTCCTCCACTTTAAATAAGCCGTTGATTTTGTTAAATTGATATTATATTTTGTTTTGAGATTTTCTCTGACCAGGCCGTACTAATAAGTCCTGTTGTATTTAGATTATTTGGTTAACGTCAAATAATACTTTTTTATTTTCTTAATTAATTTTCTTTTAAAGAAAAGTACATTATTTCTAAAATCACCAATCTTAAAAAGTCAATTTGAGTACAGATTGCCGCAGGAGATCTTTAGAACTATCAGAGAACCCCTCTTGTAGTAAATCATTCAGTCTTTGCCCTCAATTTTGTGTTGTGTCAAAAGTTGCCGATTAAAACAATCTTTAACTCAATCAGTACACTACAACATACATGTATTAAAAGAGTACGTATTTTGTTATTTACACAACAATAGAAGTTATAAGAGCCTTCTTTTTTATGTGTTCTGTCTCTCATCGTTTAATGTTGTTGGGCGTAAGTAGTATTCCTGTGTCATTAATCGACACAAACACAAACGACGACTTTCACACATATAAATAAATCATCGTTTTTTAAATAACACACTGCACTGCCGTAATCACTAATAAACTCAAAGATGGCTATTACTACAACTGCTGCAAAGCGTGTTCAGTTCACAATATTCATAAATAATGATTTAGATAAATATTCCGACAGCGATAATGATTTAAGTGGGTTAAAAATAAATAAATAAAATTGGTCCTGCTCTGCATGTAATATATTTAATTAATTCGTTACCGTTACTATTTTTTATTTGGTGCAGATTCAGATTTCGATTTTAGCATGCCACGTGACTTGCAAGAAAAACTACGTACAGATACAAGATGAAAAACTTTCAACAAAATAGGACAATCTCAAAAACCACTTTACTTTATACTTGAATTAATTTAAGTCTAAACAATTAGAAATCCTGACGGTAATCATGGAATCGATATCGATGATACTTTTGTATAAAACTGTTAAATTTACAAAGTTTAATTTTACACACAGTAACGGTAAAAGTTGGTAGTCTGCTTTGTGGTTACGTATTTGATTATGGGCGATTGCCATATCTTTCTGGTTTGAATGTGTAATTTACTTATGCTAATAAAAATTTCACTGTTCTAATAAAAAAAGTAAAAGTTGATACAGGCATACCTCATTAAATTGAACGCCGTCACTAATTAAAACCTCAGTAAACTGAAGTTGAGTCCAAGAAAAATCCCCTCGAGAAACTGAATTTACTAAATAAAGCTCGATAAACAGAATATTTCAAATTTTTTTTTAATAATAGCACCGACCACTTCAATTTAACGATTTGGCTTATTTTTCAGAACTAGCAATAATAGCATTATATAAAATTCGCCCGTTATTGTACGAGAAAGAAAAATGTGTAAGATTTAAGAAGCCAAAAAGACATGCATTTTACCATTTCCAGAAATAATTAGTTAATGTTCACATTTATATGGACTATTCTGTATAGTTCCCAAATGATTCCATACATATGTCGGGAATGCCTGTTGCAGTTCCAAGCCAATTACATATACATGTACGTATATCTGGGAACTACATGTATCAAGGAATGCTTTTTTCCAAAACCCGTGTACTGAATTATTCGGGGACTACAACAGGCATTCACATTAATTCTCTACATGATCATTGAATTACATATATTAGTTCCTGTGAATTTCATGCGAGTTCCATACGAGTTCCATACGAGTTACACAGGTAGAAAAGGGTTGGTACGCTAGTGGTTTTTTTGTAAACCTCTAGAGGAGTTCCGGATTTCCTAGTGGTTTTGTTGAGGTTTATATGGATTTCTCCTAAATTCAATGAATTATTAGAAATTTATTAGGAAACCACTAGGAAATCCTCTAGAGGTTCTCCAAAAAAAACCACTAGTGTACCATACACTATACTGTATACAGTCCAGCTACACTCTTTTAAATGAATTTTTAGTGCGCCAATCGGGTCGGGTCCAATCCGTGACCCGGCCCGAACCGCACACTTCGGGTCGAGTCGGGTTGGAGTCAAACCCGACCCGAAATATCAACGAAAAACTATTTTACGATTTTCGGATCAAATCCGACCCGAACAGAGCTTTATGAATTTTACCAGATCTGAGTGGAACAAAAGTCAAATCACGAATCAGATAATTTAATTTATGGATCTTCTTACCACAATCGTTAGCATTATTGTTATATTAAACAAAAACCTACCGCTACATGTACATGGAAGACACTTCCTCTACTACGAAAGAAAATGTCACCAATAATAATAATAAATTAGCTTATGTGGATTTATCCCTCAAATACATTCCAGACGATAAAGATAGGCTTAAATACTTGAGGAGGTTATTAAATCCTGGTATGCTCTCACGCATAGAAATATAAAATAATGTGGCTTAACTTTTGAACCGTTGCTTCATTCTCGTCATATTTGCTAATAATATCCAATAGTTAATCTTGTGTTTTCTTCCTTTCCTGCTTATTGTCAAAAAACACATCTAGTTAACGTAGAATCACCCGTTGCAACTGGTAAGCGATTCGTAATAAAATTAGTCAATGCAAGTGAATGCGACCTGGCTTGACTTTTTGATAGCTGTCTCGTCTTCGCTGTGTCATAATACTTATTCCTATTGAACAGAGTTTCCTGGAAAATCGATCTATGGGATGAAACTGAAAAAGACCTGGGAAAGTTTTGGAAATCTTTGGAGAATGCGAAAGTTGATAATAATTCCTTCAGCTATCCGAGGACGTCTATTTCTTGGGGGATAAAGAGCAGGACGTCATTCTATACATTCGCAAATGTTACAACCACTTAGCTAATATTATCTTTAATGAGAAAATACATCGTTATCATATTACCGGTAATCCCGGAATTGGCAAAACCGTTTTCGGATTTTACCTACTTTATTTGCTTTCACAACAAAATAAAACCATTGTATACCACAAAGTTTATCAATATCCAATTCTCTTCAACAATCAACATACCTTCTGTAGTGATAACATCTCTGACTTTAAAGGATACTTGGACAATACAGATGTCTTGTATATTGTAGATGGTCAACCACCACTCCAAGTTCATGCTAAGACAATTCTTCTCTTTTCTTCACAAAATCAACAATACGATTCATGCCGGTATGGTTATGGAATGAGGTCAATGAATGCAGGATTGGGATGTTCAATCATCTCGAAGAAACAAATGTCGAGAATTTGTTCTCACGTTGGGAGGGATTCCTCGATTCATCCTAGAAAAAGCTCAAGATTCTTCTCAGCAAAATCATTTCGAAGATGCAATTAGCAAGAGGATTTGATTTTGTTGGAGAAATTGATCACGCTGATGACGTCAGTCACAGGCTCATTCATATTTACACGAATCTGCCGGCGAAGAGGACGGAGAGGGTGAAGAAGCTCCTTACATTCAGAAATTTATGTGATTTGCGTCTGAATACGTAGCCGAAAGAGTGATGGACAAACTCGAAAGGAATTACAGTCAACAGCTGAGGATTTTTGTGACAGCAAGCTCATCAGAAAGTGAATATAGTACGCTTCGGGGCGTTATGTTCGAACAGATTGCACATCGAATATTACAAAAGGGAGGGACATTTAATATTCGTCCTTTAGAATCTGACTTCACAAGTTTTACAATTGAAATTCCAGAACGGATCAAGTTGGTGTTTAAACGATATTAATAAGATTGAGGAGGGCAAGTACTGTCAACTGATTCAAAAGAACTTTGCATCCATTGATGCAATTTTTGCACCAGACACACTCTTTCAGATAACTGTGAGCAAGAATCATCCTATTAATATAGAAAATTATTTTTCATATGTGGGTTTATTGGTCGTGCTTGTGATAATTCGTTAATCCGTCAATCGAATTTGCCTTTCAGCTGAAATAGTCAAGGATCTCGATTTTCATTACTAATCGTTATAGGGGATGAGTATGGTATTCCGCAATTACATATTAATGATGGTTTTTTCTGGTCTTTTCTTTGCAGGGTCCATAATTTGAAACAATTACCTTACGTGATCGCAAAAATTCCGAATTTGATTCTTAGGCTGTAGATATTTACCGCAAATTATATAAAAATAAGGTGGGTTAAATCGTTTACTGCATCTAGCTTTTCGGATTTAACTAGAAGTGAGGTTAAATATATTATAGAAAAGTTCACCTCCCACGAGCTTACAAAAAGTTACGGCGTCGTGTTGGTCAGTCACTTTGCTCGTGATCAGATAATAAGTCTTGCTATATCACATGGCTCAGAACACCTGTTGTATATAAATCATTTTACATATCGTTATTTTTTATTTGTGGTGAGATATATACAGGAATTGTGTTAATGAAACCATAATTTTCCTTTAGTTTTACTACCGCTAAAGGCTCCGCTAAGATAATTACCGAATATGACTCTGACCATCATTATTTGTAATTAGGCGTAATCGACGATTTTACCTGTAACAATGGGTTGGGGAGTGATTAGACTGAGTGGTGTTCGTTGTTTCTATTTCCTGTGCCGATATCTGCGGATATCGTTCAGTATGACGGTAGAGAGGGGAATTTAGTAGATTTGGGTTTTGGGTAAGATGGTTTTGGGTTTATGTTTTTATGTGACGGTTTATCGATAATTTTCTTCCTATTAACTTCCAATCGTTGCTTTTTCTGGCTAAAAGCCTTAAACTGTTTAATCACAAAGCGCTTTTTCAATCAATCAATCAATATGCCGTTTAACAATATCAACGCCTTTTCTGGACTAAAGGACCTAACCACAATCAATTACAACAATTTTACAAGTCTAATTTTACTTGGAGAAGAATTGTACGCAATTTAATTCTGCATTTTTATTAACGTCCGCGAGGACTATATATATATATACATCTTTTTGTTTATATCGTTGAGAGAATTTAAGAAAACAAAAGCGAGATTAAAAGATTGGAAGCGAATTTAGAATAGAAAACAAAAGCGAGATTGAAATAGAAAACCAAAGCGAATATCACATATAATTTCGAAGCGAATAAAGATAGACTAACGAAATCGGGCCAGGCTGGTTTTACCAAAATTGGGAGATTAACGAAATTAACTCTAGCCCCCGGTAACAATGCTACAGCTACGCGCTACGTAATTGACATGAGAAAGCTCGTGTAATATTGATCTAACGCTATACGTATAAATTATATGCACGTTATTGCTTCGTTAACACCAATTGCCAAAATTGAAAACAATTACAAGTTCGCAAATAAAAAGTCCATTAGTTTTACTAACCATTTCTATTTTTAGTTATGTGGTATGATGCAGGCAGTTATTGTTATTGTGAGCTAAACTGAATGATTTACTTAAGAGGGGGTTCTCTTAAAGTTCTAAAGGTCTCCTGTGATGATTTTTACGAAAATCAACACCAATGAAAGGTAAGGGTCTTTTTAAGTAAAGGTGTTTTCGGGTAAACTTTAATTGCTTTAATTAACAAGTAGGATTTATTGATACGACCTACAAAACAAACCAATGTTCACAAATATCAAAAAGCGCTTTAATACAAAAGAGTTGGACTTATTGATGCAGCCAACAAGATATTATAATTCCAAAATCGGGGTATGGCTTATTTATAGTAGAGGTCTTCTACTACTTGTACACAAGCTTTGAAGATGATCAAGGGAAAAGATTTGTTAACAAGTAAGTATATTTTACAAGTTGGCACTTTTATTGAGCAGAGCATGAGCTTTTTCTCTTTAAGAGAAACTCTTCTTTTTATAATAATTCTTTGGTTAAACTAATTACATATTTCGTATTATAAACTAAAAATAATAAAAACCAAAATATCAGCTAGAAATTATTCACAAGAAAATTATTCATTAAAAAATTATCAACTGAAAATTATCAGTTCGATAGCACAGACGATTATCTAATACACAAATGAGAAAGCGTTTGACAAAGAATTTTCTAAAAAGGAACAATATATACATGTATAAAGTGCTAAATAATATCTACTGGAAATTATCAGCTAGATAACACGAAGATAATTATAATACATGTACATGTAACGGTAATACACGTGATGGTAATACATGTTAATTTGATAATCATACGAAATGTTCTGGGTATCAATTAGTAAATAATAATGTAAAGAAATTACGGAATTAGAGAATTTAGAGTTATTACGATAACAATATGTACATATTTCGAGTGATTATTGTTTCTAATATAGAAACATGCTAGATGTATTTTCACGCACGTCATATGAACCGGAAATGGTGAAATTTGCGAGTATATTGCATTACGATCGATGACATTCCAGTACGTATAAGAATTATATGAATTTCTACGTAAATTTTACGCATTACTGTATTTTTTATATAAAAATATTTGTAATTTTTACATAAAGTTCTTAAAATGTAAATTCACAAGAAAAAATATATCAATTTTTACATAAAAATACGCAATTACATTTTCATGAATCTTAATAGAAAGTTACAAAAATTATGGTTTATGAATAGTATCGTACATGAGTTTTTTTCCATAAAATTCATCCAGCCTCTTTTTTTCCGAATACCCAAAAATGTAAACGCATGAAGGAATTGATACGTTAACTTTGTTTATGCCAAATCATGTCTTCGCGTTTTTGCAACAAAAGAAAAATAAGGTATACGAAGAATGCGCACGTTACATGTCTTCATTCCAAACATCCAAAAAAATTATATATCAAAAAATTGTGTTGTCACAAAGATATTAGAAAATCGGGGCTTTTATATGACAACAATAAAAATAGACGATATTTTCATAATTAGTCAATAATGCAAAAACTAATGAAAAACTCATATTGATGTACTAAATTTGAAATATTCTGAAATATGCAATATCAAACTTTCAGGTTTTTTTACTCGTTAAAAAATCATAAAACGCATTGGCATATTATATTTCAAAAGCTTTTAGTAACAGGTTACATGCTTCATAAAATAATGGCAAGGAACCTAATGTATTGATTTTTTAAGAGCACAATACAACAATACACTACACTAATACACTAATTAGAGGTATTTCAAAATACACTACACTAATACACTAATTAGAGGCATTTCAAAAATGGGTATTGTGGCAGATCGTGATATCTCGTGATCCAATTACGTATTAGAATCCAGCGAGTTTACCACCATTCGACGTGTCTCAATGAGATGGTTCGAATGGTGCAAAGATTGCTCGATTTTGATTATTTGAACATGAGGTATTTAAATTTAACTTTTTTTTTAATTTTAAAAATTAACATTTCAATTGTAATGTTCAGATAACGATAGCTTGATCAGAATTGAGTGATCTTTGTACCATTCGAACCGTCTCATTGAGACAAGCCGAATGGTGACAAAATCGTTTGATTCTAATCATTGGATCACGAGATATTCACGAATCCGACAAATAATGTTTTTTAAATTGACAAAAAAATATAATTTTTTATTTTAAAATGTTTGCTATTTTAAAGTAAACATTTAAATCATTTTCATGAATTTTATTGTTAATTCCACCATATTACCCATACTTACCTTATATGTATTGTCTATAAACTGCTAAATTGCTTTACCCCTTTTATATTAAACCGGAATTGAAATCTACAATATAAACCTTCCTTTTTCTATTTGCTTAGAAAATAAGGGAACAGCAAAGTTATCTCTTTTATACGTAGTTAATAGGCTACATTTTTAAAAACAAAAGCATATCTAACTTGGAGTTTGCATTGTCAATCAAACAGGAAAATTGCATACGCCTACACATGTACATAGCGATAGTCTGCAGTGTTGTCGCTTGGACGTAAAGCCAGCAATTTGATTGGTCGGGACAAGCATTTCGACCAATCAAATTGCTGGATTTATGTCTAAGCGACAACTATGGGCCAATAGAGATAGTGAGTGCTTTGCTTATCATGTATGTATGTGCAGGCAAGCGTGTATTTACTAGATTTTTTCTATCTTCTTGTTGAACAAACCGAACGAAAAAACAAAGAAGCAATTGAAAGTTAACCACTTCTTTTTATTATATTAAATGCATCTCGATAAACCGAATCAAATCTTGATAAGCAGCTTTTGCGAGATTTTTTCCCTTAAACACTGCATTGCTTCCTACCATTGAGCATAACAGCGACTATGATTTAATTATTGTCGCCACATAAGATAAAAAAAAAACATGTTCTGGTGCATTATCGATTCGTTTACCTTTTAGCATTTTAGTTATTACACATCATATAACCTTATGAAAAAAAATCGCGGGAACCACATCAAAAATAACTTGGGAATTAGTAAGAACTGTCAGTCACTGACTGTATAGTTGGACGCCTAAACCATGTGATGCTATTTGGCACACGGTTTAGGATTATCGTTATACGGTTTCGGTTTTTACAACTCTAGCCGAAACCAATGACAATTAAGCGTCATCGGTTTAGACGCACAACTATATGTCAGTAACGGTAAGAACTGAATAAGGAAGTTTTGAAAGTGTAGATCAATCGTTATGTTGTTTTACACTTTTAATTAGTGTATAATGCATTAATTCAGTTGATACCTCAATGTGTTTTTCTATACTTGTATTGTTTTACACTAAATTTACTAGTAAAAGTGTAACAACATAAGGTTTGTAGAACAACACATTTAATGTGTTGCTCTACACTTTCAAAAACTTCCTGATGTGCTCCGGAATTAACGCAATTTCAGGAACTGATTCGGAAAATGTGCAATAATCCCGTATATATTTTGGGAACTGGTTCTGGCAAGTTCTCGAGTAGTTCTTGGAATTCCTTAGCCATAAATACATAGATGAAACTCTGTTTTCTGTCGAATGTAACTCGTGTAAAATTCTCAGTCTTTGCCTCTCAGCTTATTTTTCCCAGAAATTTTTCTTTTATATTTTTTACGTGCACTATAATTAATATAAGAATATTTTAACCAAATACGAATAGTAAATACCAAACAAGCAAAATGTCTGAAGCACAGAAGGATGAAGGCTTATCAGAAAAAATTCTACACAACGCACTTAGATGGAAGGGTACCGTCGTCCCGAAAATATTCCCATCGGCGCTTATTTGTACAATTGTGGCTGTCATTGTAACAATTCTCTATGAAAAAACGTCGGTGAAAATAAGTATTCCACAAGCTTTTATCCCGGTTCTTGGGTTTGTTGTGGGTTTACTTTTGACCTATAGAACGAATACCGCTTATGATAGGTAAGAAATAACTAATGACAAATAATAAGTAATAAATAAGATTTAATAAATAATAATTTTTAAAGATATTGGGAAGGTCGTCGAGCGTGGTCTACTATGGAAGTCGCAATCCGCGCATTCGCACGTCTTACCTGGGTCAACGTAGGAAGAAAAAATGACCAAGCTATAGAAAAGGAAACTGTCCGAGATATTATAGAAATGAAAACTGTCATCAATCTATTATTAGGATTTGCTATCGGAACAAAACATTATTTACGTGAGAAAGAAGGCTCAGACCAACCAGACTTAAAATCACTTATCGGTGGCATCCAAACAAAACCTTCCGGTTGTGAAAAACTCGAAGATCCAAACAGGGCCCAAAAATCACCAAAACACAAAAAGAAACCACATGAACGAAGAAATTGCCAAGTTGTAGAAAATCACAATATCCCATTAGAAATTTCGCTTTATCTCAGTTCATATATCCAAACACAAGTGGAGAAAAAACTTGATAGCCCGGTTATCACTGCTATGTTGAACTCACTCAACACCATGGTTGATTGTTTGACAACATTCGAAAGGATTCTTCGAAGTCCTATTCCGGTTGCTTATTCGACACATTTATCACAAACTGTTTGGGTTTATTGTCTCACGTTACCGTTACAATTTGTGCAGTTTTTACATTGGGTCACAATTCCGTTTGTGTTTTTCTCTAGTGGCGTGTTGCTTGGTATCGAGAAAATTGGCGGAGAAATTGAAAATCCTTTCGGTAAGGATGAAAATGATTTGAACTTGGATGAATTCTGCGAGTGAGTATACTTTTTTGTTATTAGTTAATTAAAACAATAAATATTAATCTTTATATTCTTTTTCTCATCTTTTTCTTTAGACGTCTTGGTCATGAACTTGAATTGATCACTTCACTTGAACCATCAAATATTAAAATTTTGGCATTTAGCCAAGAGAATACGCCATTTAGTGATGTCAAAATTACCGGCGAAAAAGCCGAAAAATTCGGTATTGACAAGATTCGATCGTTACTTTCAGGAACACACGACGAGAATAATGAAAAAGAAGCTTCTGCCGGTATTTTTGTAAAAATTGAATAGTTTTATTTTATGTAGTAACAATAACAATAATAGTAGTAAGTATAGCGAGTGATAGTTTTGGGATGGCAATGATAATTTAAGCTTTATTACTAAAAATCAAAACCAGATATTTTATAAACACACCATTTCCTCTATATACATCTTCCACATCTACTACTTCTGTTGTACCAATTTTATAAAAGTATTACTTTTTTTTTAATTGTCGTGTAGAACTTCAAAGGCTTTTTATCCTTTTTTTACTCATCTGGTTTTAGATTTTTCTTTTTGAATACAAGAAGTGGCTCGGGTTGTGAAGTACGTAGAATGGAAAAGAACTAAATCAGCATACTTATTTTTTGTAACACAGCTTTCAAACATATCTAGCGCTAGTCTTCTCTTCTGTGTAAAAAACGCACATTTACACATGTACATGTATAATTTTTTTGTGTGCAAAAATTTATGCGCAGCACATAATTTTTTAACAATTTTAGGTGTGTATTATTTATGTGTGTTTGAAGTTGTAAAAAAATGAATTTCGTTATTTTTACTATCGTTATGCTCTATTTAGAGCATTAATACGAAAAATTAAAATTTCCTTTAGCCAATCAACTTAGCAAACGAAACCCATAATTTTTATCAAGTGAGATCCAAGCTGTCATTATAAGTGGTGGGGGGGGGAGGGTTTAACATAAGGATTGACAGTAATACTATTAACTTAGCATTCCAGATCAAGAAAGAAGACACACCAATATCATCAGAAATTGTGAATTTAATTGTTTCTTATTTGAAACAAGTCTTTAAGATTTACATTTTATGTTGTTTACATATTTTGCTCCAATAATGATTAACAATAAGGTGTTAATAAAGTACAAGCACAAAAATTTATTGATGAGAAATTTGCTCTTAAAGTTAAAAGCTAACCTTCAAAAGAAATCAAACCTGCAACGCAAAGACTGGAATAAAATATTTCATCGTCAAATGACTAAGGAAATACTTTACTAAAAAAATCTGTCCAGCATTCACAAATTTAAATTACTCATCACTTCCACCAACGAATTCAAAATCATTATGAAAAAGAATGGTCGAGAGAATGTGTTGGTCAGTCCAAGAGTATGAACGATCATTAAAGGTGATGATATCACTAAAACCAAAACGTGAAAATTTAATGAATACTGACGACAACAATTACAGTACGTAATTACTATGTGATTGTAAAATATTTATATTTAAAAATAGCAGCTAGATTATGACATACGAAGTGTTATGCTCGAATGCAACATTTAGGTTAATGATCTATAAATAATATCGATAGTTCCTGCTTTTGTACAGTGGGGGACAGTATAAATCATCCACTCAGGTTGGATTTTTAAAGGGTTATAACTCGTGTTCTATACGTGAAACAAAAATCCTCTTTTGTCAAATTGTAGCTGGGGTAAAATGGTTACAATTTGGTCACGAGAATTGATAGCCAGCCGCGACCAGTAAATAATTTCACTTTACTTTCATTCTGAATAAAAATCAACAATCTTTCGAAATACGAGGTCTAATATTTTGCTTGTTTTGTTTCAGATAGATAATGCTACAGCGAGTGTGACACAAAGATTTCTCAGTAGTTGTGAGTTTTCGTAGTTTATTCGATCTATTTTGACATGATCAATGTTATTATTATTTCTTTTAATATTCTTATTGCTTTAGGATTAACAATACAGACATTCGGAATCAGTAATTATAAATAACCAAACTACGTATTAATAAAATTAAATATTCCAAATTCTATTGGCAAGTAATTTCTAAAAATTAACGGTATTGTTGCGTCGTTTATAATAATTAGTTAAATTATTTACGGTTGAAAGGTTTCTTCAGATGTCCTAAAGGCTTCCTGTGGCGACTTGTACACAAATCAACAATAAGGGGGAAAAGAAGGGGGTGTTTGGAGGGATAGATAAAATGAAATCACTCATGTAACAATAATTTAATTCGTTATAATAAAGTGTTTATTTCAATAATCGATACAAAGATGGCAGGACTTATTGATACGGCCTGTACCAAGGGAGTAAAAATCAAAGTAATTATTCAAAAGAAATCAATGGCTTATTTAGAGTGGAGGAGCATCTACTCCTTGTAATCGCTCACAAGATTTGAAGTTTGATCACGAAGCAAAAGAAAATAATAGTGTATTCACAAGTAATATTACTATGAGTAAGAACTTTGTTATTTTATTTTATTTTTAAAACACGATCAAAGCATGATCAAAGTATATCTTCTCAGCGACTTGAAGACGCTTCTCTATACAATTTTGGATTACTACACTAATCAATTTTTGGATTACTGCGCTAATCCTACAGTATCGCTAATTCTAAAGCTATCGATTTACATTAATAGTTTCTTTTGAAACGTTCAAGCATCAATTGTTCAATATCTTTTGATTATTGTCGTCCCTTTTTGATGATCACTATCGTTACGTGCATTAATTATCATGCGATGTTCTCCTATCGCTATTGTCCAAGTGAATGTTGGGATAATTATCGTCCTCTTGATGATCACTATTGTTACGCGCATCAACATTATGATTGAAAAACGATGGGATATTCATAACACAGGAAAGAAAAAGGTAACGGTAATATTCATTCGTAACGAAACATTTCTAAACTTGGTTTTCAATGTGGATTATGTTCATGTGGGAATTAGGGATCAAATTACGGAATTAAAGGATTTAATGTTACTTCGGTAACAGTAATATATTCTCCAAATCCAAATATTTTTGTCAAATTTAAGGAATAAATAATTTAGGTACACCATGGTAAGGATAAGAATCGATTAAGTTTATATATAGGATCGATTAAAATTTGAGAATCGATTAAAATTTTAATCAATTAAAATTTGAGAATCGATTAATATTTTTTAATCGATTAATCATGCATAAATGGTGTAACAAAATTATCAAAAAGAATAAACTAATGAGAAAATCTACTTGTAAAAA